TAATATTAAACAACTTTCTTCTTTATGACTTTATGACTTCGTAAAATGGAAAAGATAAAGAGTAGGCGAGTAGAATAATGAAAATAATAATAGGGCGGGTAACACGGTAACTATAGAATATAACGAAAAAAGTAACATAACCATTTCTATTAAAAATGTTATCAACTTTAATTTCATTGCTGACATTAATATAGATATAACGTGTAGTTTCACTGATATAAGAGAAAAACCAAAAAAAAGTTAACTTTTTTAATCGTAAATTCAATTTTACGACTTGAAAACCAACGGTATGGGGTAACTGACAATTATTTCATGCTTTAAACTATAAATAATATAAATTGGAAGGATTGGTAGCTTTATATATCTATTAGACTTCTCTATAGAAACGCTTACAACCTATGAAGAGTCTCTATCTATCTATTTATCTTCACACGGCCGCCATTTTGTATTCCAGCGCCTATATGCTGGCAGACGTGCATTTTACTCACCAGGCCGGTGTTTATGATCAATTTATTAGAACAAAGCTTAGTATAAAATATGTCACCTTTTTTGCTATGGACTCCCAGGCTATTACATAGGTTCTATTTTGCTTTATTAGTCGTTCAGCACTATGTTAATTTTAGGCACTGAAAATAAAGAGCTTGCTTCTTTTGCAGCAGTATCAGCAAGATCATTACCCGTTATACCTTTATGGTTTGCGACCCTGAAAAATTTAATATTTTAGTTAGTTTGTGCAATAAGTTGTGCGCAAATTACTGTGAGTGATTTTATTTAAGTACTTTACTGACATAAGAAAGTTTGATTATTCAACAGATAATTTCTATATTAATCGAATCTTATTTGTTAGGGAATATTCAATAGAGAATCTATGTAGACCATTCAACATCCCTATCAGGAGTACAATAGAATCGAACTGCATACTCATCGATTCCTCTGTCTAAAGCTATTCATGCAAAAGGGCTCTGATATAACCAGGATTAGACAAGTAATAAAATATGTTTACACGTTTTCCATAAGCAGCAAACATAAACAGAAATCAATTTTAGTTAAATAAAAAAAAATTATAATGGGATTATTTATTTATATGCTAGTTTTATTTTTTTGGTTTAAATAATATTTTATTTTAATATAAAAACGCTACAAATTATTTCACAATGGTTTATTATTTCCAAACAATTATACATCTAAAGTAACATTACCTTCCTAGTTACAAAGAAGAATAAATAAAAGGTGATTCCAATTATTGGATACAACTTTTTTTTTTAATCATTAGTAATATGCTAAAAAAAAACTGGCATTACTTCAGTAACACATTCAGAATTCAAAAACAAAAACAAAGGGTATAACCTTTGCAATAGAGTATATAAAAAAAAACCAGATACCGTATCATTGCTCCTGATTGTCCGATCTTAATGATTTTGTTTTTTAGGAAATTCCGTAAACTTTTAAAAATCATATATACAATTAGTGTATACTTTTCGAGTTATTCGGAATTTAATTTTACCATCCCTCGTAACTTTTTTTCTAGCTTCTCTTTTCGTTGAAGTATATTATATAGATAAATTTAAAGGACGTCTAGAAAACGACTTTAGTGAAGTTTCATTGAAATCTGTACATTCATTTAAGCGCTACAGTCTATAGCACCGCAGATTTTTTGGCCACCATTTTGAAGGTAAAATGCGGATAGTAATGCCGATGAAGGAGAATCATCCTCGGGTGACCTCTGATTTTATATTCAAATTTGAAAAAAACGGTCCAGTAGTTTCGGAAAAAATGCGCGGACGGCGGACAGACAAAAAAAATTTTATTCGTTTTTCGAATTCTAAGTGTCCTAAAACGTAAAAGCTCAAATTTTGAGAGGGAGTTAAGTTCTTAAATTTTTTGGTCGATCATAATGGTTCATTATTGAAAATAATAAACCAAAAGTAAATGAAAAATATAATAGGAATTAAAAAGATTTTTTTTTAAAACAGCAAAAACGCTAATTAATATATTTGATTTTTTTAGCTCTAATATGGCGCTCTTATGGAATGCTTCTTTTGATCTGCGTAAAAAAAAAAAATAATAATTCGGTTAAGAAACGTTTCTTTAATTTTTATTTTCCCAATAGTATATTATAATTCTTTATTACTACTCTTATTTTCAGAAGTTGGTTGCCAGCCTGCGAAAATATTTCTTAAATTCCTGCTAACAATTAGAGACCTTTAACAATTCCTAATGCAAAAATAAATTATAAGTAGATAGGTTGTATTTCATAAAACTAAATATTATAAAAATTCCGCATACTAACCCTCCCAACCTATTTCAATAAGGGCAATTTCAACTGATTTTAGATTCCATTCAATTCTAGTCTGATATAATGAGTTTAATCATTTTTTTTTTAACTTGTTTATTGAGAAACATTACAATTTCTCTAAATTGAGGGCATTTACAATAGCGATCAGAGAGCCCATTCACGCCATATTTGCAGAAAACATAAATAAATTAATTAATAGCAATATAATATATAGAAATGAAAACAAAATAAAATAGCATAAAGAGAAAAAAAAATGCATGTGTTAACAAAAATAAAAAATATAACAGAATATTCTTAAAAAGTAAAATAAACATATTTAGACACAAGTATATTTATATATACTACTTACATTCAGTAAGGAGATCTCTGTCTGAGCTAAGCTTTTTCTCCCACGTGTGTAATCAGTGTAAAATTAAGCAGTTTTAAATAAAATGTTGTTTTTATTCTGGTTGATGTTCTCTAACAGGGCTTAAATGACTATTTTTCAATATTAGCTTCTTCTAAAGTAGCTTTAATTTTTTTTATTTCAAACAATTGACCATTTCACATTAATCTATAATATAAAAGATAGTTAAATATGAAATGTGAAATAATTTGATAATTAACTAAAGAAGAAAGTAAATATCGTAACGGAGAATAGTTGTAATTGATCGTACCTCAGCTCGCCCGAAAGATTATAACAGGCTTCCATTCGTAACATGAACTTAGTATAACATGGATTCCGACAACATTATATAAATATAAATATTAAATATGTGGTGTTTATAAATGTTATTGTTAGTATTATTTAATATTTAATTGTATAAATATTAAAATTTGTATATACAAGGGTAATTATACAAATAAAAATACCAACAATGAAATATAAATAATTATAGCTTCTATAATTTTTACTTTCACTTCTCCTTTGTCTGAGAATACTTATTCCTGCTAAGAAGAGAGTAGGAAGTGAAAGTTGTGTGATGCGCGCACCGCACCAGATTTTTTTTCACTGATTATCCCAACTAATCTTCTCTTCAATTATTCAGCATTATGTATAATATATTATATATCAATATTTCCTTCTACCATTTAGTGTATATATTTAGTGTATATTTTTTCATAATATAAGATATTGTCTTGTTGATATATTATGTTAAACGATTCATCTTCGGGATCAAGAGGGACACTTCTGCCTCTCGTTTTTATGGAGAGTTGAAGTGGGTTTATCCTTCCTACCGTCGTAAATATTTCATGACATCCTAACTCTCCCAAGTCATCCAATCCCGTCGTTCATCATACATCTCCGAGCTCCTCCAATTCAAATCCTCCGTTCATTCTCTTAACCATCGTTCCCAGTCTTTAGATTTATATACAAAGTCCCACCAAAAGATCTTTCAATATTAATCCTCATATTTATGAAATTCCATCCCTTCCTATATCCGTCACTCCAATACCCTTCTCACCTTTAAATCCCACATATTCAACCACTACCTATCCATCCAATTCCCAAACAATATGAATAGTATTCTGTAAATATGTAAATTAATTATTAGTTTGTTTTTCTCACTTCACGTTTCATTCATTTTTTTTTAAATTTACTACCCATTGGTAGCACTCTGATAACATATTTACATAAGTACATCACGTGGCCATCTTCTTTTCAGACGCATCGGAGGGTATTCAGGGATCGAGGAGGAAGCAAGGTTTGAAACGAGAGGGTTCGGATGGTTCTGGAGTTTGTTATGGAAGGGTAGGTATCTGGATCGGGCCAAATCGGAAACATATGAGACATTAAGGTCTTTAAGGATGATTTTATTTGTGACAAAGTAAGGAGCGTTGAGGATTTTACGAAGGATTTTGGATTGTAAAGATTGGATACGAGAGGAATTCGATGGTTTAGTGGAGCCCCAAAGCTCAATTCCGTAAGTCCGAATAGGTTTTATTACTGTCATGAGTCGTTTGTAATTGATTGGAATGTTAGAGCGTTTGTCTAGTAAGTGTTGGAGTAATCGGAAGCGTCGTGCGGTTTCTTGTCGTTTAAGTCTTGTATGAGGATTCCATGTGAGTCGTTTGTCCAGGTGGAGTCCTAGGTTACAGATTTGTTCAACAGGGATAAGTGGGAAATTGTTAAAGGATACTGTAGGACAGGAGGTCATGGGTTTGCGACGCAGGGTAAAGGTAATTTGATGGGATTTATTGAAATTCATTTTAATTCTCCAGTTTTTACACCATTCATCAGGGTTTGTGATGTGTGATTGAAGAGTTTGGGATGCAGTTGATGGATCATTATTAACAGATAGCAAACATGTATCATCAGCATACGTGGTGATGACAGTGTCAGGATGGTTGGGATGTCAGCTGTATAAACTGTGTAAAGAATAGGACCAAGGATACTACCTTGAGGAAAACTTATTTTTAATATTTCTATTTGTTTTGTTATTTTTCTTATATAGCTATAAGGCTCTAACGCCTACTATTTTATTATTGTATATTATTCTAAAAGAACTTGTCTCATGATAAATTAAGCACATTGTTATTACAATTATTATTAGCATTTATTCTATAATACTTAATATAAATTAATGAGTTCATTTTAATAATACTGTTTATGTTCTTTCATGACTTTGTTAATTTAATTCTCTGTTTATATTCACCCATAGCTTATGATTTATAAATTATATAAAATAATATAATAAAACTAAAAGAAGCTAATTGTTTCCAGGTTCATGTTGAGCGCTGTGTCGCCCGCCGTTGTGGTACCAGTCCTCCTCTCCTTGCAAGAACGGGGCTACGGCGAGTCCAAGGGCATTTCCACCCTGGTGATAGCGGCCTCCAGTCTGGATGACATCGTCGCCATATCGGTCTTCGGGGTGTTCCTGGGGATGATATTTTCTACGGGTAAGTTCATTAAACACTTTATAGAGCATAATTTATGTGATTTCTATATATATATATGTGTATTTTTTTTATCATCAAGATATGCTATTTCTTATCTTTTTTATTCTCGCCTTTGTGGATTCAAAGCTGAATTGGGGGGACAAGTCCAACCACCTGCAGTTATAATATTTTTAGATATTTAAAAACTTTCTTGTAATCCTGGCTGTATCCAAGAGAACCGCTTGCTGAGCCTCTCTTAACACATCCAGGGGTAATTCCAAGCCGTCCGTACCTGGCATCGTTGACTTTGGGATCAGACCATTGGTTGATATTATTATTGGTGTAACCAATACGCTCTCCAAATGGTACAACTCCTTTAATTCAATCGCCAGTTCTTGGTACTTACGAAGCTTCTCTCCCTCGGTTGTGCTTATGTTGTTATCGTTTGGAATCGCGATATCAATAAACTTTGCCATTCTCCCGATTCGAGATTTATAATTGCACTACAATAAAAATGTCAGCACTGGATCAGTAGACGCAAAATTTGATCCTCTACAACTTTGATTCTATGGGTTTTTCCTCTTAGGGAACTTATTTCCAAGTTACAGTGCCATTTATAGTAATTTGTCTCAGTTTTTGACAAATTTGGTAAACATCAGCGTTGGTTGACCGTGGTTTTACACCTTACCGTCTCACCAAATTATAAAGTTTATGTACTCACTCGACGCAAAATTTGATGTTCTGTAATTAATCAAAGAGTACATCTTTCGCTATAATGCATCGTTTAGGAGTTATAAGTGAAAAAACAAAAAAATATTGAAAAAATCGGACTTTTCTTGATGTAAAAAGCTTTTCCTTGGTGACCCGCGTTAGCAATTTTGTTTTTTGCATGTCTAAACCCATGTATACAAGTTAAAAAAATTAAAACTTTCTCACATTTTTCGCAATGGATTTCCCGTTTCGATCCTTAAATTATTGGCCTAATATTCTTTAAATCATCCGTCATTTTTTAATGCAGCGGCTCTGGAACGGCAGACAAGGTTCGTTTTACTCAGAATAAAATACACTTTCGTAATTTACAATCAAATCTTCGCCTTCAGGTCGATTTTTGGGCCCTGGCTCCAGGGCTATGAGGTCTTCTTCCCTCAACTTTAATTTCCAACGCTATCCTGGCCACTCGTTTCTCTGGCATTCGTGAGAGATGACCGAACCATCTCAAATTTTCCTCTATCACAGTTTAGGCTGGTCTTACGTTTAGGTTTTTCCTTATTGTGGATGTCCTTATGCGATCTCTCTTCGTTTTTCCTTCGATCCTGCGCAGGAATCGCATCTCCATGACCTGAAACTGAATGATGTCTTTTATGGTGAGGATCCATGACTCGCTGGAGTAGGCCATTATCGGGAGGAAAGCATTTTTTTATATGCTATTTAGAGTATAAATTCAGAGTGTCCAGTGACCGGGAAATTCCCGAAAACTGGGGATTGTACCGGAATTTTTCATGTGCTTCTTTTGTGACAATATAAACAAGATGTAACTTTGCTAGAATTATAAATTTTCGCGGTGTCGGCCTCTTCACAATTTTTGCGATTTTAACCATTACCGCATTTTTGTCAAATTTCTAGATTTTCTCCTTTTTCGTGGTTTCCCCATTTTCTGTTTTTATGCACTTTCGCCTTTTTCGAGATTTTCGACATTATCGCATTTTCTCGGATTTCGTTATTTTCACAATTTTCGCCTTTATCGCATTTTCGGCTTTTCCTCGGTTTTCACTATTTTGCCATTTTCGCAATTTTTGCCTTTTTCACGATTTTAGCAATTTTCAGCATTTCCTTGGTTTCTCTATATTCGCGGTTACGCCATTTTATCATTTTTAATAATTTCGCGGTTTCGCAATATTCGCCATTTTCAACATTATAAACAAATTGGAAAAAGTTAAGCAGTTTAAAAGATTTTTAAGTATTTTATAATTTTCGCCTTTTTCCCGATTATCTTAGTTTCAGCATTTTCTAGGTTTTTACAATAAAACAACTAGGTTTTTTAAATAGGTTTTCATAAATAAATGGAAAAATTCGAATGGCTAGGGTAAGCACACCAGTGATGGACATAGCGAAGGAACCTTTTGTATTTTTTGGCTTCTGCTACCCTAATTAGTAAAGCTATAAACTTCTCCATTGGACATTTAGAATCTCTAGGGTCTCATTTTTCTATCTAACTCTTTAAAATTGAAAAAAATATTCAGTTATGCAGGTATAATCTCCATTAAAAAGAAACAACATCTTTTTGCTCTACTGATGGATATGTCGAAATTCAATTGTTCAAGTAATGGGTCGGTACCAATAGTAGACATACCTCAGAAAAATTCTAAAACCTTCATTTACCTATAAAGATAACATAAATGCTCAACTTATTCTTAGCAAAACTGTTAGTAGGAAGGTATGAAACACACTGATCTCAAGACAATAGGAATAATGATCGGCATTTTAAAATTTTCATTTTCGAACTTTGTTCATATAGTTATCAATAGAGGGCATTATTCTACAGTTTAGAAAAAACTGGTACCTTTAAATCAACAAAGAAGCTTATTATTTACATTTAAAGTCCTACCTGTCCATTACTTGCCTTCCGTCCATAACTGGTACGTTCACCCGATTCATTTCTTGAAAACATCTTATATAAAACATTTAAAATATAACGGTTACATTATGATAATAATGCAATCCGTGTTTTTTTTTTCTTAGGTGACTTAACGCAGCAAATACTACAAGGGCCAATAGAGATGCTGATTGGGCTTGCCTTTGGTGTGTTTTGGGGACTTGTAGCATCTTTTATTCCTCATAGAAGTGATGTAAGTATTTTTTGTTTACAGTATTAACTTTAGTAACTTGGAAAATTAATATAAATTCCATCAAATTATTTGTATCTTTCGTCGCAAACCTAGGATCTTCTGTCCTACAGTTTCCTTCAACAATAGTCCACTTATCCCTGTTGAGCAAATCCGCTACCTAGGACTCCGAACAAACGACTCACATGAAATCCTCTTACAAGACTGAAACGACAAGAAACCGCTCGACGTTTCCGACTACTCCAGCACTTACTAGACAAACACTCTAAGGTTTCAATCAATTACAAAAGACTCATATATGTGACAATTATAAAACCTATTTGGACTTACGCAATTGAGCTTTGGGGCTCTACTAAACCATTGAATTCCTCTTGTATCCAATCCTTACAATCCAAAATCGTCAACACTCCTTACTTTGTCACAAATAAAATCATCCATTCTATCAGTAAGTATTTTCATCTTATGTTCCTAAGTGCACATTTACTAGATTTTTTTTTCTTTTTTTTAATATAGTTGTAAATATCATAAATCAATTAAAAAAAAAAATCTTTAATAACTAATAACTTCAAATCCATACCACTTCCTCTCTCAGACACAGTTCGGTATCTTGGCTTATTTCTAGATAAAAGACTAACTTAGAACCCACATACCAGACTTAAAAGGCAACAATTAAACAGACAATTCGGACAGCTATATAGACTAATGAATAGAAAATCTAAACTTTCAGTCGACAACAAACTACTAATCTACAAAACAATCCTGAAACATATCTGGACCTACGGACTTGAGCTGTGGGGCTCAATCCTTCCAGTCTAAAGTCCTCCGAACAATAGTCGATGCTCCTTCTATGTATCCAATAAAACCCTCCATAATGACCTTGATATCCCTTTTGTTATTGACCTAATCCCAGACAAATTTTCCAAATTTCACCGGAAACTCACTCATCATCCTAATCCTATAGCACAATCCCTATCTAGCTTCCACATTTGAGGGACATGACTCAGAATCGTCTGGGTAAATGTATATATTGTATATAGGTGTGAATGTGTTTTATATATTTCAGTTTCAACCTATGTATGTTAAACTCTTTTTCTTTTATCTCTATTTTAGTTATCATTTGTATTTATATATTGTGTAAATATTTAATGTAGCCTTAATATTAATGCCCTCCAATGCGCCAAATGTATTAATTTTCAAATAAAAAAACAATAAAAAAACATATATATATAACTAATAAACAAAAATTAATTTTTATATCACACAAGAAGATTATTTACTAACCTTATATTTATATTATTTGAAATTCCTGGGCAACCTTTTTTTCTAGATTTATCAGATTATGTTTTGGCCACTAGAGTTTCTTAAAATTTTATTTTGTTGGTCAAAAACCCTCATCTTTAGAACATCTTATTAACAATATACTGTGACAGGCTCCGTTTTGAAGCAAAAACTCCTTTCGGCATGGTTTGCACTTTTTTTGTGAGAAGTAAATGAGACTGAGCCATCATGCTCAGATATGTTACGCTCATTCGGGTAAAGTCGGGTCGAGTCGACAAAATGAAGTATTTCTGCATTTGGATTAAAATATATCCAGAAATTAAAAGTCAGAACTGCGTACTGTAAGCAAGAGAAATTTACATCATTTCATCATCTATGTAATGAGTTATTATTCAAAATTGTATCTTAACGTAACGCCGTGTTAGAGAGGAGAAAAGGTCTGATTACCACAAATTAATCAAATAACTTCATGTTATATTACATTTAATTAATTGCTTTGTTTGATTATTTAAATTTTTTATTTATATTAGATTTAATCCTGGAAATAAATGTTATGTATTATAAAATTTTAAAAGGTTATACTTTGATAATTTTAGAACTAATGTTTAATTTTTTATTTATTTTTATTATATTTATTATTTATCTTATTTGATCACTTAATATTACTAAAATATAAATAGGTTTAGTAATATTGTTTCAAATTTCTGTTATAGTGCGCCTACAAAATTAATATAATTTATCTTTCTTATTTCAGCCTTCTCAGTTTCCTTCCTACTTCCTTTCATCCCTCTGCTCTGTTTTAACTCTGTATTATATTATACGTTTTCTATACATCTTGATAGACTTCACAACATCTCAATTTTCTATCTAACTATTCTATTCACAATATCTTAATTTAACTGTTTATTTCCATTTCTTATATAACTTCATATTTTTCTGTTTTTACATTTTATTCTAAGATTCCCATTTTAATACTTATGTCACCTTTTTTGATTATGTTTACTTCATCATTCCACACTTTGTACCGCTTATTATCATTTATCTCTTAGCTCTTACTATTGTCATTATTCTAACAACTGAATTTTACTTTAATTTTTTTTTTAACTACACTACTTATGTTTCTCATACCTTGTTATCTGGTTCTTGCTTAGCCCTGATGATGGCCTGAACTTCTGGTCGAAACATCGCCTAATGTCAAAATAAATAGTATCATTTATTTTTGCCTTCTTATTTGACTGATCACCCCAACTATTCTTCTCTTCATCATTCACGACAGTTGACCATTTACCAATTATTAATATAATTTAATCAGTACAATCCCTTGTTTGCCAGAAATGGTTAGATATGATGTTAAAGAAAATAAAATAAAAAATTATTGAAATAGATTAAAACACACAGACCTTTTTCATCATGATAATTATAGTTAATATTGCTACTTTTTTTTTTTTTTTTTAGAATTACGTGACAGCTAAGAGGTCAGTGATGATTGGTGCCGGAGGTTTGTGCGCAGTTCTTGGCTCGGAACTTATTCACTACAGCGGTGCTGGACCACTCGCTTGCATAGTAGCGTCTTTCATCGCCTGCCTGTCCTGGAAACTGCAAGGCTGGTCTTCTTCGCATGTAAGTTAAACATATTTCAAGTATATTTTAGTAATTTTTGCCATTATTGAGTAGAGATTATTTATATTTTGTAGAGTAATAATCTTGATTTGCTGGATTTAACTTTTATTTATTTATTTCCTCAAGGTAGTATCTTTGGCTCTATCCTATACATAGTTTATACAGCTGACATCCCATCACCACGTATGTTGATGACACGTGTATCCTACCTGTTAATAATGATCCATCAACTGCATCCTAAACTCTCCAATCACATATCACAAACTGGAGAATTAAAATAAATTCCAATAAATCCCATCAAATTATATTTACTCTGCGTCGCAAACCTATGACCTACTGTCCTACAGTATCCTTTAACAATTCCCCACTTATCCCAGTTAAACAAATCCGTTACCTAGGATTCCACCTGGACAAATGACTCACTTGGAACTCTCTTACAAGACTAAAATGACAAGAAACCGCTCAATGTTTCTGACTAATCCAGTACTTACTAGACAAACGCTCTAAGTTTTCAATCAATTACAAACGACTCATATATATGACAATAATAAGACCTATTTGGACTTATAGAATTGAGATTTGGGGCTCCCCTAAACCATCAAATTCCTCTTGTATCCAATCCTTACAATCCAAAATACTTCATAAAATCCTCAACGCCCCTTACTTTGTCAAAAAGAAAATCATCCATAAAAGACCTTAATGTTTCATTGTTTCCGATTTGGCCCAATGCCGATACCTATCCTTCCATAACAAACTGTAGAACCATCCGAACCCTCTTGTTTCAATCCTTGCTTCCTCCTCGTTCTCTGATAACCATCGGAAGCGTTTGAAAAGAAGGTGGCCCAGTGATCTTCTTGTGTAAATTTATTATTTGATTGCTTTCAGTGGGTAGTTTCTCAACAAGTGTTTTCAAGTCATTATATCCATATGTTCAAATTTACTAAATGTATTTCTTCAATACAGTTGTAAATACCATTAAGAAATAAAAAATAAAAAAACTGTAGGATGACATGAATAAAATGGAAGAAGATAAATCCATTCCTTTCAATTATAGTTTTTTATGAATATACTATTTGAAGTTAAGACTTCTTTAGACGTCCAGTGTGACGCTGATTCAGGTAGAGTAGACTAATTTAAGTATTTTTGTATATGGATTAAAATATCAGAACAAAATTCATACTCGCATATCGTAAGCAAAGGAAATGTTCAAAATTTCATCGTCTTTATAATGCGCTATTATTCAAAAGAGTATCTTAGGGTGACACCGTGTTAGAGATGCAAAAAGGGAAAAATCTGGAGTGTCCACTCACACGACTTTCCTACCTATTTCAGAAAAGTTTTTATATCTTTACACATGACAACCAAGAAACAAAAAAAAATTGAATTAGATTTATTTTCCTGAAAATTAATCAAAGAAAAGATTTAAATACGATAAAGATTTTTTGACTTAAGCCCTACCAAGAATGAGTACAGATTTGCTTATAGCAAAAAACTTTCTAGATTGTAAACTCAACCATGACAGGTTTTGATATTTATGTTAATTATGATAATAACATAAAACAATAATTTAAAAAAAAAATTTCTCAATATAAAATTATTTAAAAAATCTAATTACGTAATTCAGTATAAAAAATATAAAAATGTATGAAAATGGAAAGAACTTATAATGTATTATTTATTTAACTTTAGATACTGAAGTGAAGGATAAATTATTCTTGAAACATACTAATAAAAAAAAATCTACTTTTTTTTATTAAAACTTAAAACTTACAAGTTGTTATTTTATTTTATTAAATTTATAAACAAGGAGAGAGCAGGAAATAGCAACAAATAAATTATATTAAACAAATATAATTTTATACATTTAATTTAATAAAATTCTTTCAGAACCCAGTGGCAGATGTTTTCTCAGTTGTTTGGCAAATCCTTCAACCAATGCTGTTTGGCCTGATCGGCGCAGAGATAGATCTAACAATACTAGAACTACACACGGTGGCTCTTGGACTCCTGGTGATCATTGGTGCGTTGGTATTCAGGGTCATAGTTTGCTGTACGGTTCTTCTCGGAAGTAAACTCAATTGGAAAGAAATTTTATTTGTCAATTTGGCGTGGCTACCAAAAGCCACTGTTCAGGTAATTATTAAAATAATTTAATAAGTATATTTACTTTTACTATAGTTGTTAAATATTTGTAATGATCATATTTTTCTTAAGGTAAGTGCATTATTGAGGTAAATGCATATATATGCTCTAAATCTAGGGTTTCCAACCTTTTTACGGTTTATAACATACTTATTGGTTAATAGTGAAGTGGTAGACACCAATTTGTTTCACTAAAATTTTTCATTGTTTTATACAGTTATAAATAAATGTATAAAAAAATATTGCTCATTTTCTTGTATAAAATAAATACTGATATATTGATACATTAAAAAGGATACAAAATATAAAATTTCTTTATGAGAAATATAAATGCTAAAGACACTTATATTTACTCTGTATTTCATTGATCATTGCTCCATAATTTGAAGAATGTGATGATTTGAAATCATAAAATATGAGATGCCCAGATGAACACATCTCTGGTGATTAGATAGGTTGAATGCTAAAATTACAATATTACCAAATTGTAATTCAGGTTTTTTTCATGAAAAAAAATATATTTTGACAGGAAAATATTGTTAAAAATCTATATCAATGTTTTGTTTCAATTAATTACTTATTAGATTGTTCATAAAAAAATAATAATGTATAGGGGGGCACATATGAAGTCACATGGGTATTGGGTTGGGGACCCCTATTGTAAATAGTATGATATTATTCCAATAATAGCAAAATGAAATCATTGGCACCATATTGAAATAATGAATGTGCAACATTAAACAGGCTCAAACTTGTTACTTTAACATAGTTCTGACAAAATTATAACCTTAACATATGAAAAATAAAAAATTTCTAAGTTTTATCTTGTTGAAGGCTAATTAGCTGTTATCAATGCAGAAACCGTCTAGGAAGAATGGGTAAAAGGTCTCCATACTACATTATATTATATACATTACATTTTTTCATAGATTATTTTTTAATTGATTTTAAGTTTCTTATTTCAAAATACTATTTTTCAAAAGAAAGATGCTTAGAAAGATTTTTGGCAATAACCATGAACTAGCCAACTTATACCAAGACTCGGATGTAGTGAAATATATCTGGATAGCAAGGCTGAGATGGGCAGACTACATTATATGGATGGACGAGAACTCATTCCCAAAGAAGCTGCTCAGCATCGAACACGGTGGAAAAGGAGAAGTGGAAAGACTGAATATGAAATGAATAGATGGAGTTAGTGTCAGAATTCTTGGAATCTGGAAGTAGTAGATGGCAGCTCAGGACGGAGAAAAGTAGAGGACAACTCTTGAGGCAGCCAAGAGCCAGTAACGGATTGTAGAGCTCAGAATGATGATGATTTTAATATAAACATATAAAAAAATAATTTAACTAAAAGGCAGGAAAATAAATATACAAAAATCAAAGTTATTGCAACATAATTTACATATATTGTAAGTAACCTGTTCGCTGATAATTATAAGTAACCTTTTATAATTATAAATTGCTCACTATAAATACAAACTTATTTCTTTCGGTTACTAGAAAGATATAAAGGTTATAAGGTCATTTACACCGACGCCTCCAAAGTAGAAAATAACGTTGGTTGCACTGTCTATACAACCGAAAACCAGCTACTGTTCAACTTACCAAAAGAGAGCTCCATATTCAGTGGAGAAGCAATTGAAATAATTAAGGTCCTCTATTGGATATTGAATTCCAAAGATAAAAACTGGATCATAGCAACAGAATCCAAAAGCGTTGTGGCAGCCATTGGTAACCCGTGGACAAGCAATTCCCTCATTAGAGAAATAATAAACGTATGGTGCGAGATGAGAAAAACATCAGTAAGTGTGGTCTTTGTCTGGGTTCCATCCCATAGTGGCATAACATGGCATGGTAATGAAAAAGCTGACCAAGCTGCTCATTTGGCGAGGAAGGGAGAGGTACCAGATATAACACCAATAAATTGCATCATCATTGGAGATTGGTTCTATGGAACAAAAAAAAGTTATTAAAAATTGGGAAAACCAATGGAAAACACAACGAGACAAACTAACAGAAATAAAAACAGAGTGCAACACGTGGACCACAAGCTCCAGAAAATCGAGAGGAGAAGAAGTAATATTGTGCCGATTGCAAATTGGACACTGTCTTTTCACACACGGATACCTTCTTAGAGGTCTCGAAGCACCAACCTGCCAAAAGTGTGACAACACACCTCAGACAATTGAACATCTATTACTAGAGTGCCCCTAATATGAAAAAAAGAGACAAAAATTAAAGCTTTCAACGACATTGAAAGATATTTTGGGAGACAAGGAGGAAGATGTCATCATTCTCTTTGAATATTTATTGGAAACAAATCACTATAACAGAATATAAAAATCAAAATTACCACCAAGGTAGTTGACCGTCTAGGGTAGAGACAAATACAAATTTTAAAAAATAAATAAAAAATAACGTTTTGTTTATTGGGAACCTAATTCTTTAGTGACATTGAGTTGCAAGTAATAATAAGAATATATATATATATATATAAAATGTGGGACTGAGCAAATACACTTTGAAATTAATTATCTCACCTGGTTTGTTGTTCTTCAGTTGTGAGTCATATAGGACAATTAAATAAAAGGAATCCACAACTATATGACAAAATAATTTATTTCAACAACTGTAATAAATGAATCAATTAGAGTCTTATAACTTTAAGCTTGATCTTCTTAATCTTCAGTGGAATGGGCATCTCTCTTTGTCCTTCTCTAAGTGCTGTCACCTGCCAGACACTTTTTCAGGCTTCTTCCTTTCTTAGTTCTGCTGTACGTTTTTCGTTGATTGTTGATAGATTTGATACTTTTCACTCAACAACGTGTCCACTGCACAATTGAGTCCAACTCATAGTACAACCCTACATTCCCTCACTGAATGTTATATAAAGGAGTAAATATTAGAAGCCATCTACAACAACATACCATGTACAAAAGTTTTTAAAGATGAGAAATAAATCTTCAAAACAGTTGTCAACCTTTATTTGCTTTAAATTTTGGATTATTCGCCCATTTTTAAAATCATTATACAGTCAAACATGTAAATTACATAATATATAATTAGTATTTCAATGTTATTATTCATATTGCTACTATTAATGCAAAAGACCGTATGTAAAAATTGAGTTTTTTTTTTTTTACAGAAAACCATAATAACAATAGATTCTTTATGATTTATTAGTGTAATTTTATACTTTATTTATTTTTGCTATTCTTTCATGTAGCAGATTACTTATATCAGTTGCAGACTACAAAATGTCACTTTTAACACAAATAGAATAAACATTTAAAATTGTTACATACACCCTTTTGCATGAATAGTAGCATTACATACTACAATATTTAAGATATCTAAGTATATGTTACATCTTTATATTTTTCATTTTTACTTTCAGCTGTATAAAATGTATATTAAGGTAAGTAATATAAGTAAGAAATATAAGGAAAGTATTAAGGTTGTGAATATTTTTGAATATCGAGTTTTTAATGAAAATACATGTTTAAAGGTCTTCTGAGTCTTAATAACCAAGTCTAACTTTGTTTGTACTATCAAGAAATGCCACTTAAGAAGAAATTAAATGGTCTTTAATATGAATTAGGTCTTATCCTCATTGAATTTTTTTGACAGTTAATTCCAAATTTTTATAAATAATTCCTCAAATTTTGATTATTAGAAATAATTAAAGGTTTCTCATTGTCTATTTTCATACAAAATGGATAAATATAAACTATAAAAGAATCTGATAGGTAAACAAAGGAGAAATATTTTCACAGATAGAAAAATAATCAGAAATAAGATTAACATGGATTTCTAATTTTGGAAAACTAAATATCTAGCATAAAGTGTCGACGAATGTAACGAAGAGTGAGAAAAAAATTATGACTTTTCATTGTTATAGTTAATAATGTACACTTTTATTATTATTTTTGTAAAATAAATGCTTATATGGAAAATAAATGGAGTATCTATGAAAACTAAATATACAATTCTATGAAATAAATATGAAACTTTAAAATTTATTTTCTGCTTGGTAAACTAAAAATTTATAGAACACAGATTTGTCATACATTAATATTGAGACTAGTAGGCCAGTGCGAAAAATTCGCACAGCATATTGTTATCAAAAGCCAAATTAATAAGAAAATAAGAAAATGCAACTTATCAAAAGATTAAGACATCAAATGTTACTTTAACGATAAATATAATCCACAAAGCAAACAAAATTTAAATCTTCATTTTTGTTTGGAACCAACATGTATACAAATTTCAGTTAGCTGTATATTTGCTAAAAATTGTCCGATTGCGATGATTTTTTTTCCTTTTGTAAACAATTCAGTAATGTTTTATATAATCATGGGAATAACCAAGGGAAAAGTGTGTAATTTTTCAGTTATTCGCAAATAAAGTTTATTTTCTTTCATAACTTGTTTGCCTGAATTTTCTGGGTGATTGGACTATTTTGCCAGCCTGAAGGAGAAGGAAGCCTTCGAAATTGGTGGCTCAATCTTGAGATTTGGTGAAAAATTAACGATGATATGGCTTGCCGATCAAAAACACCATCGATGAATAATATAAACTCCCCCTCTCTCGATCATAGAGACCTCAAGTCGACAAAATGAGACATGTATTCAATGACAGTACTACAATTAATGTAAGGTTGTGTGGATGCGAACTCTATGCCTTGCGTTATCTCGAAAATAGTACGTTTTTCGGCTTAAAAACGCAGGATCCGATAGTTCCGAAGGTTTCAAAATAGTTCCGATAGTTCAAAATCTTTAAGATCCAATTTGTCCCGTATCAGTCTACAGACCTACCACCGTTCCAGTATCGAAGCCTAGTAAAATGTTGGATCAACTTTATTTATTTTAGAAAGAAAAACAAAAGTGGAGAAAACGATTCGCTAACCCCCCGTGAAATTCTGAATCCAACGGTGCCCCATTCGTGGTATTTGAGCATGACAGGAGCTTATATTTGGTACAAAACCGATTTCGAGCCTTACTATAATAATATATGTACGGATATTGTAAATTTAATTTTTACTCAAAGTTAGGTGGGAAGAAAAATTTGTGTGGTATACAACAATTTGTTTTCGTTTTAATGTTCATAATTCTGTTTTTATTTTTGTGTACTATAATTATTATTTTCATTGATGTATATATTTCAATATTGTTGATTAGGACTTCATTTTATTTGTAATAATAAAAATATACATTAGATCTAAGTACTACTACTTTATTTTTTATTTACATTCAACGTTTCGCCCCTTAGGCCATTTTCAAGCGAAGAAACCTTATTTTAATATAATAATAAAATCATATAGGCTAAATAATAGCCAATTAAGTATTGTGAAAAGGGCAAATTAGCCCATATGATTTTATTTTTTTATAAAATAAGTTTTCTTCCCTTGAAAATCGTCTAAAGGCTTAAAAGTTGAACATAAAGTAAAATTAAAGTAGGAATACTTAGTTCTAATGTGTGTTTTTATAATTAAAAATTATTATTTTGAATAATGTATTAAATTTTAAAACAGACAAGGCATTGTTTGTAAATATACAGATATTATTAATACAACAGCCATGTAAATAATAATTTATAAAATAGGAAAAATATATATTGCAACTAATAGATAGAACAATAACAAATAGGTAGGATAAGACTGAGCCCAAATAAGAGGATGGGGCAGAGGTCAGGGGTAGAGTTATCTTAGATGCAATAAGCTTAACATGAAGGTAAATTAAAATTATTAATGCTGTATTTTAAAAATAAAAATAATTTAAATTAATAAAGTATGACTATATAATTAATATAAAAATACAATTATATTAAGAACTTAAGGTAAATTCACCAGTAATGAACTTTTTAAGAGAAATGTTTGCATTAATAGGAAATGTTTTGATGATGGGTTATTATCATGTATTGTTTGAAATATTTATTGAAAGGCATGCATTTCTCTAAAAAAAGTACGATGAAATAGTTATTAAACGATTCTAGGATGACCATTTAATACAATATATATCTATGGTTTGTCGAGCTTTTCCAGGGAAACACTCGGTTTTCATTAAATAATACAAGTTTTCATAAATTCTTGTTTAATATTTTTTTCTTCACTCTTTATTATGTTCAACAGCTTCATAGGCTAGATATTAATGCTTTTTTTTTTATTTTAAGCTTGCTGATAATAAATTTTATATGTATATTTCTGGAAAATATTTTTCTATAATGGAAAGTGAGCCTCCTTTCTTTCCTCCTCTGTTAATAATATTTTTTTTTTATAATTTATATTTAACCATTTCTAATTACTACTAACCATGAGAGATTGTTATTTGTTTTAAACAAATCATATTAAAAATACTTTTTGAGAAGCCATTTTGAAAATTCGGCATTTAAGCCCTTTCAGATTACATCAATGAGGATAAGTCTTACTTGATATTAAAAATTATTTAATTATATATTGACAAGTTAAATAAACATTGTTAGAGTTGATTTCTTTAAAATCATAAAAATATTTCAAATTAATGATATAAAGTATTACTTTTGGTGAGCTGATATTAGTGGAAAATGTTACTTTAACATCCGAGGCATATACTAAATATGTAATTTCAGTTTTGTACCATTTTTTCGTTTTTGAGCTAGGCTATTCACACAGGCTATTTTGTGAAACTTAGCTATTTGGACTCAGGAGACCTCGAAACACATATTTCCATTGAAAATTAGGATTAAAAATTTTTCATGATCAAAATACTATCCTTTACTGTATATACAGATAAGTTAATTTAAAAAACAGCATAATAAATAAAATGAAAAATATATAGAAGAAAACAGGTAACATATACTCAAATATTATAGATATTGTAATATGTATGAAGATATGATTAATAATGTAGAAAGACTAATTATATATTTTGTAATTTCTATTATATTTGACCAAATAATGCTTTTGAAAATTGATAAAGTAAATAAAGATTGAAAATTGTTATGCAGGTTCATTACTCATCTTCCAAAATCACTATACTTTGATTGCAAGAATTGGCCTTCTTCAAGTTATAACTTGGGAAAACTACATATTTATATTATGTGATAAGGTATAAAAGCAAATATAATTTAGATAATTGATCTTTTATTTACAATTGGTATAATTGTTACTATATAAGTTTATTAACATTATGTACTATTCTAAAAGTCTATTATGAGTGTTACTTCAATACTTTTAGAAAATTGTAAGGATAAAGAAAATAAAAAATACGTGAAGTTTCAGTTCACATATGTATTATAAATTGAAAATTTTCCCAAACTATAGTTAAAAAACCTTGAAATCTCCACATATATTATTACAGTTAGGCTCAAAATCAGTTTTGTACCCAATATAAGCTCCTGTCATGCTCAAATTCCATGAATGGAGTACCGTTAGATTCAGAATTTAACGGGAGTTTAGCAAATCATATTCTCCATTTTTGTATTTCTTTCTCAAATAAATAAAGTCAATACAAACATTTTCAATACTGGAATGGTGGTGAATCTATAAATAGATACAGGACAAATTGGGCTTTGAAGATTTTGATGCATACAACAAGAACCGGATAGTTCCTTCGGAACTATCAGGCCCTGCGAGATAACGGAAAGCATAGGGTTCGCATCCACACTACCTTACATTAATTGTATTACTGTCATTGAATAAATGTCTCGTTTCAAGTCCTCTATGATCGAGAGAGGAGGAGTTTATATTATTTATCAATGGTGTTTTTGATCGGCAAGCCACATCATCGTTAATTCTTCATCTAATCCCAAGATTGAGCCACCAATTTTGAAGGCTTCCTTCTTCTTCAGGCTAGCAAAATAGTCCAATCACCCCAAAAATTCAGAAAAGAAACTTTATTTGCGTATAACTAAATAATTACACACTTTTCCTTTATGTTAGGTTATGTCCATGATTATATAAGAGATTAATAAATTCCCTACAAAAAGGAAAAAAAAATCATCGAAAACTGACAATTTTTAGCAAAGATACAGTTTATTGAAATTTGTAAACATGTTGGTTCCAAACATTAATGAAATTTTTAATTAATTTTTGTTTCCTTTGTCGATTATATTTATCGATAAAGAAACAATTGATTTCTTTATCTTATGATACGTTGCATTATTTTCTTTTCTTATTAATTTGGTATTTGATCACTCAACAATATGTCGCGCGAATTTTTTGCACGGGTCTACTATTATATATTAATGGAATAACAAATTTAATTATGTCCATTCACTATTGGCCTTGTAGGGAAATATATTAATTTTGCTTGTAATTTAAAAAAAAATTATGTAATGTTAATCAAATTAAGCCTTATTCTCAATAAGTGAGGAGATTTAAGGCTAAGGTGACAGTAGCAGAAAAGCAAGAAAAGAAAAAATTAAAATATTCTAATATTAATCATAACCAGTAATAAAATGAAGTATCCGCATGGATCAATAGTGAATTCATGATTAATTTCGGAGGGGCTTTTGTATTCTCCTCTATAGTGGTAATTACTTTGAAAGTAAAAAAGATAATATAAATTGATGTTTAAGTGGTCCTTTAAGACCTAATTAAAAAAAAATTGGTAATTAAAGGAACAATTAATAACTTCAATTCAAAATCCTCTCCTCCCATAGATCCAGTGTATTAATACTGTATCTATATTAAATATCTTCTCTCTAGTATAAGATGACTAGACCAATTTTGGTAGAACAGTCTCGATTTTTTTAAATTTGTTCTGCGTCCCATGGCAGTTTGAAAAAATTCTGATTTTTTGAAATTTCTGATTATATTATTTTTGTTAATTTTATGATGTTAAACTTTAATAATATCGAATAATTTTTGAAAATTGATTATGGAGAATTGCTTAGAAAAATTAGCATTGTTGTTCAGTTGTTACAATGCAACCACTATTGTTTGGACTTAATAAACAACCGGAAAATTGTATTTTTTTAAATAAAGTATCGTTATTAAAAAATATATACTGATAAGGAAAAGGTTAAATTAACTTCATGTACTACATCAATTACCGAAATTTTGCCACCTTCAATAAGTTTTATAGCATTTTGAAAAAGGGCTGCCTGATTAATTGAAATTGCAGGCATAAAATATTTTATCTTAAAAACTTTATAATTATTGAATTTGTAAATTAACCCTCAAATACATCATCAAATTATTTGCTCTCATTATACGCCTTTAGAACTAAATTCTTCGCATTATTTCAGCTGAACAATATGTCACCTGATTAAAATTTGCACCAGATTATCATTATGTAAAATTAATTATTATTCTAACAAGTTTGGGGAGTGGCGTGGCTCAGTGGTAGGGTACTGAGCTTCCAATGCTAAAGGCCCCAGGTTCAAATCACGGCTCATGGCAGAAAAATTATTTATTCTGTGTCATCAGCTGTGAGGCAACCCTGGGTTGGTAGACCCTCCTAGGGCACACTCAGCCTCTATGCAGTAGGTACCCTTAATTAAAATAATTGATTAAGGGGAAAAACCTGGCGGTCGAGCGTGATCTCGGTCAAATCACCTCCTTGCACAACCATTGACCAATAAACAGTGCTTTCCCTAAATAGTACTGAACCCAGGACCCTTCATGGGTTGTAGTGGTACGGGTTTTTTTTTTTTTTTCGGACAAGTTTGTCTTCCCATCCCCACAGTAAATGTTCCGTTAAGATCTGGCCAACTTATTCTAGTATCATTTATATTCTTTTATAAATTTGATAATATCATGAACTTAAATTTAATATTTACCACAGTGTGCTATTAATATTTTAAGACGTATTATTTGTCTAAAGTTGTATTTATTTTTAAAATAACCCACATTACTTAACTAAACCAGTACTGTACGGATGTTTAAATACTTTTTTATTTCTGAATCTAGGCTGCCCTCGGTCCGGAAGCATTGGATCAGGTCAGAACACAAGAAAACCCAGACCCATTGGACATGAAGAGAGGAGCTCAGATGCTTACGATTGCAGTCTTATCAATTTTGCTGACAGCTCCGATTGGTTCCATAGGCATATCAGTTACTGGACCTCTACTCTTATCAAACGAACCAGTAAAAAATAAAGGTATTATAGATATTTTTTTGTTACTCTTATTAGGTATATATTGTAACATCCCTCTTATATTTTACAAATAATTATAATAATATAACCTCGGAAGCTCACTTCTTACCATTGAGATACTTCCTAAATAAATAAGAGGTTGTTTAATAATAAACAAAATTATAAGAGAATTAATATATTTATTTATCTCAGATGTGGGTTTCTGACAATCAGATCAACTCAGACAAACTATTATTATTTACACTATATATAATAAAAGTAAACAGTGATTTTAAAATAAAGTCAAATCTGGATTGGCAAGCTAACCTTTTTTCTATAGATACTATTTCTTCCTTTGTTGCCCTAAATTCCTTTATATTCAAACATTTTCTTATGTTCTGCCAAACACATATCCCAAAACGGTAACACTATTCTTCCACTCAACTCAAGCTCTCTGGGAAATCCTCTCTTGCAATTCCAAACAACTATTCTCCCTGCCAAACAAGATATTCTAAGATGGTAAAGCTTTGGGTTTTACCCACTGATGCCAGGATCAGTTCTCCCATCCTCTCTTCACCCCAGCTAAAAACCAACTACTCCCCAAAACAAAAACCTTTGTCCCTCTCCTCTTTGAGATTTTCCTTCTTGGGAAACTACAGAGCAGCCATTTTTTTTTCTCTGCACTAGTAGAACTAGATTAGCTTGCCTTTTAATGGTTAAACATTAATTTATTGAACCCTTTTTACTCACTTCCAATAAAAGTGTACATTACTATTTGTAATACTTACTTAGTCAAGGCTGGTTAAAGCCATGGGCCTGGCCACTTATTCCTTCCACCACCACTGATATGACATCATTTGAGCTAATCGAGACAAGATTTATAACCGGTTAATTCAGGAGTTTTTTATTTTCCAGTCATGTTTCAATCTTTTGTTCTCCATATCTTATAAAAATTAAAACTCTCTGAACCACTTAGAATATTCAGAGGATTTTTTTTTTTTAATTATCAAATTCCATTGATGTACTTTAAAAGTGAGAGGTTGTAAACTTCTTCTTCTAACTAACAATCAAATATCTTGATCCCAGCCATGATAGACTAAAATATCAAATGGACTATATTCTTTGCTTATCTATTTGATATTATTTTTAATTTTTTTTCAAAATATGTTCATCTCTTCAAAATATAATTTTAAAAATTAATAATCTCTTGGAATCCTGCTTTTCCCTCTATAGTTGGAGAGACAAGCCTGACTTGGGGTTCCCTGCCAGGTTGTATATATTGAATTATTTACATCCGCCTGAAACTTTGTAAATAGTTTCATCTCATCATAACCTACATCTATTTTATTTAAGAAAACTCTTGGAATTGGGGCGTTTTCAATCTGGAGGGGGGCAAACTTTGTCTATTTAACTAGGTACTAAAATCTCATAAATATCCATTTGATTTCTACTTGGATCGTAAGATAATTTGATCACAAAATCCATAAAAAATGTGGCCTACAAAAATATTTGTCCAATATAACCTCGTTATTTTGTAAATTTGGGGATGTAGGTCATGCCAAACGGCTCAATATTTTTAAGGCCACCTTTTTTCTTGATTTCGTGATCAAATTATCTTATGATCCAAGTAGAAAGCAAATGGGTATTTACGAGCTTTTAGAACCAAATTAAATAAAGAAAGTTTGATGATTCCACATTGAAAACTCCCAAATTCTGAAGATTTTCGTAAATAAAAAAGTTGTAGGTTACGATGAAATGAAGCTATTTACGAAGTTTCAGGGGGGTGTTAATAATCTGATAAAAAGGAGTCTGTACCACAGACCAAATCTTATAGGTTGTTTATTTTGTTCACTTTAATGTTTTTTATAGAGTACTTTTAGTGTATATCTGACCAGTTTATAGTTTAATCATAACCATAGAAGGTATGCAGTGTAGAAATGAGAATAAGACAATCTATAAGACATTATATTATATTCATAGATTAAAACTAATGATGTTAACTTGACCACATCCAGCTTTGGTAAGACTAACATAAGACTAAAGAAATTATAAAAATAAATCAGAATAGTAATTTATATTCGTTATTTCATAGGATTATTGTTGAATATCACTCCAGTATCTAATTTTAATATATTTTGATCTCAATAGTTCTAACTTCTACCTTATTACCTTCTTCCTACTTTAAACACTTGAGGAGTCATTCACTCTCCAATTTAATAAATAAAAACATTATTTCGTTGACCATGCCAACACCGCAATGTGCAGAAATTTTTTTTTTATTAATATTATAATAAATCTCATTAAACTCAATGACTCCTTCCAATGTTGTTTTATTATTTATAAGAGAATTGCATGTTGTTTGAAGTAATATATGATTGTATTCAGAGAGAGATTATTGTAATTTATTTAAGCACACATTGCTATAATCATATAACTGATAAATTATATTTTAATGTATTAAGTTTAACATGCAATATAACTCTTCAACCTCAAAATCCCACTTATATTATTTTTTTTTTTATTTAACAGAGTATTTGATCCCATTTTCACTAATATATGATTGTATTGGAGTATTCGTGGAGATATTTTTGCTACAGGTATTTTTCGATATCGATTAGCACACCATTTCCGCATAACGCAAAAACTTTTTTGATTTACATTATAATAAATCTTTTATATCTCAAAATTCCACAAATATTATTTCATGATCTGATATAAAATTTCATGCTATTTTCAGCGATATGTGATTATACTAGGATATTTAGAGAGAGATTTAAGCAAATTTCACTTGTATTTGTAACTGGTAAATTAAAATTTACTATATTGCGTTTAAAGTGTAATAAAACTCTTCTAACTCAAGATTTCACTTATATTATTTTTTTATTTGATTGAGAATTTTATGATAGAGAGCCCAAAATGTCTTCCCACTTCAAATATTTCAATAGTTTAAAAGCCCTTATGGGATTATATTTATGGGATTATGTTACTAACATGTATATTTACTTAATGTGTACAAATTTTCATTAGGATCTGAAGGGGGTGGGTTACTAATTGAACTTTTTCTGGATAATTTGTCATGGAATGACCCAAAAAAGACAACAACCCAAAAAAGTAAGGGAGAGGAATGTCTCTTCGAATGACTTTTTTGAGCGTCCAATTATATTGATGTTATCGGCGTCTGCTACGAGCAGTATGGTGTTCTATTTATAATAATTCCTGTTGTCTGAATCCCGGAATCTCTTATAGCCACTTGTAGACAAAAAATGGTTAATTTTATTAATATTGTTAACTATTTCTCTTTACAGAAAAGGCTGTTGCTGTAAATGAAACTTCCATGCATATGAGCGAAGGAACTGAACACGCAAATGCAAAAGAATCTGGAGTCGGCACTAGTGTCTAATGAAGATAATAATAAATAAAATACTAATAATTACTTAACTTTGTCAAAGGAATTCCAATACCATGATCTCTTCAAACGAAAACTTGATAGTGATTGAAAATAGACTCTGAACACTCAGTTTGGGGATCATTCAATTCATATATAATAAAATGTTTTTAAATGTAAATATTTAAAAACTAATTTAATCATAGTGTGTATTTCCAATGCAGTACCTCAACGTAATGTAATAAAGCCTATGTTTATGTAAATTAAAATTCTTGCTCGTTAGGTTGTTGTATAGAATTTTTTATGCCCATTGTTTCAGATGTTTTTATTAGATTTCATTCATATTATTAGTTTATATTTGTTAAATATTTAAACAACACTTTTATAATGTTATTTTCAACATTGAAAAAATAATTATTGATTAGAACTTACGTTTATTACAGTTATATAATGTGTAACATTCCTTTTAGGTGCTCAAATTATTGTTATTTATTTAACATGCATCGGATATATTTTTCTATATATTGTCTTTTTTCAGATTTTATTGTGAATTGTTATGTTTTGAATATCCAATTTTTTAGCATTGTTATCAGTTCTGGTGTAAATAGTATAACAGCTAGTGTTTTATTTATTTTATTATTTTTTTATTGTTAAACAGAATTAAATATAACTTATATAGCACAAGTTGTTATAAGTTGAGATTTATAATCAATTAAGATTGTTTAATCAATGGACTAAAGCAAACGGTGATTTGAGTTTGCGTTCATTTAGTTTAATGAACAATAATTATTTTTTATATATAATGATGGGGGGTTAATTTAGCTTAACATTTCTATGATAAAATTGAACAAAGTGTTTCACAGGCACATTTATTTTAATTGTAACAATTGCAATTCTATGAAAATAAAGTTTATACACAATAAAAAGTAGTTTATTCGTAGATAGTAACAAGATAAAAAGAGGATAATATTGTCCCTTTCTTTTGTTAAAATTAATTTATAGTAGTGTGTTAAAAAAAAAAAAAAATTAAACAGTTAATGATTTGATTGTTCTGTTAAACTTTTATAATTAATTAGTAATGAATAAAATAGAGGTCTATGATTGTATATAAATATTTTATTGGGCATTAATCTTAATTTACTGTTAGTTAAATTTAATAAACATTGTTCTTTAAAGGCTTATTTAATAATTAAAAATTTACAAAAATTATCTTTTTCACAAAATACTTTGATGAAGTCTGGTTAAGATTGTGATTTTATTAACAACAGACTGGTTATATTATTATATTAATATTGAAATTAATATTGGTTGTCAAAAGTGTAGAAAACAAGAAATGTTATTTATAATTGTATGCTTTAGTTCATATGCACTCATTTATTATTTTTAAAAAATTTTCCAAATATTGAAATTAATTGTATAAACTTCAGATAAAGCAAGGTTGATATTTAAGAAAAGTTGGCATTTATTGTAGCAATTAATCTTATACATATTTTTGTGAAATATTTTTTTTAAAAATGACCACACACAAACAAAGTGTTCCATTGCATTTCCAAATATTATTCTATATTCTATTAAACAAAATATATTTTCTTGATGTAAGTTAGCTTACATTAGATTTTCATAATTTCAGTATTACATTAGCAGTTTGTTTAGATAAATGTTAGTTTCAGGCAGACAAGAAATGTAAGATATTGTTTTATTTTAATAACTTTAATAGTATCGTATAATTATATCATGCGCAATTTTTATAACTCTGATATCATAAGGTATTTTCGTAATATGTATTATACAAATCGATTATTAGTTGAACAAATATACTAAATCTTATTAGCTTCAGTTATAATAAGTTAAGTTTATTTTTCATAATTATTTTTATAATTTGAAAATATTGATATTTTAATCATATTGTAATTCAATATGACAATGGATAAATAGAAATTATGAGGTTAATCATACATTATCATTATGATTAATCTGACTCAAGAAATTCATTATGTATGATTAATGATTAATAATATAAAATTGGTTATTTTAAGGAAATGTAATATTTTAAAATTTGTAAGTAAACAAAACTGATTACATGTTTATTATTAGGTGCACACAGGTTTTATTTTATTTTGAACCTGAATTATAAATAGGTTTTTGTAGTTAGTTACTTAGTTATTTTATGGTTCATTTGACTTTCTCTTCCAATTCTTATTTAGATTAATATTATCATTAATTTTTTTAATATCTTGTTGTCGTATGATTGATTTAGTTCAGGCAAGGGAATATTATCAGAGATTTAATAATAAAACTTAATAATTAAAGAAAAGTTAGTTTAGGATCGATCAAAGTCTTAAAAAATTTATTTCACTAATAGCTTAAACAGATAATTTACATTTTAATTATTGATACATTATTTGTTAAACTATTTAATAAATAAATTTTAAAAAAACATGAAGCGTAAACAATAAAATACTATTTTAATGTATAGTATTCATTTGACCGCACCCCCTGACCAACTACTCAAAACATTACCATGACTTATTCCCAACTTATATCCTCAAATTTGTAATTTTGGTCCACCATAACTCTTACAAAGAGAATAAATAATATAATTTATTGTTGGAATATTTTTTATAATAAAATTTAACTAACCAATTAATACACAGGCCTTCTTAAATGAGCTTCTCATACAGTTCTATAGTTTGAAAATTTCAAATATGTCCGTAGTCGTAAATAAGACAATTGTAATAAAATCGTTAGTCAATTTTCATGATTCAATTGTATTTTTCACACGGTCAAAATTTTTTTCAGCTGAAGCAATAAAATTTGTAAAAATGAATATGAGATGTTGGGATGGGAATGGAGTGATTGAGATGTAAATGTAATTTTTATTTCCAACGATTGTGCCAAAATAAACAGCAATAAATAATATGCACAAGGATTTGTGATTAGTGTTTATGTGTACATAACGCACATTGTATATTTCACTATGAAATGTTTTAATTATTAACTTAAATCAATAATGTGATACCACAGCAATTGTAAGTAGTACTACGTTACTTTAAACTTCATATTATAAATATGTAATATAGTTTTTAAGTTCATAGTAGGGATATAAATTGTTATTTCAGTCTTACCTTAAACACATTTTTTTGTCGTTTATGTAAATAATATATAAAGATTTTTTTTTTAATTGAAACAAATTATGAATGCTATACAAGATTAGATTAGAAGGTAGAACTGATGACAGTCATTTTCTGTGATGTATTTATTTAACTCCTTGCTACAAGTATGAATCGATTGTTTTTTACAAAATAATTTATGATATTCACAACATTTTTAACCACCAATTAAATATTTTATATTGTCACGCTGACATATATTATGTGATATATCTTGAAATATACAATTATAAAACTAAACATGGAAAGAATTCACTTATAAGTATTGAAAAGTATAAATAAGGCTTTCCTTATCCAATATTGTTGTACCAGATATATTGACAAATAATATAAATCTTTAGGATGATTTCTTCAAAATTTCTTTAAGAAAATTCATTGAAGAAATTTTGATTGAAATTCCTGACAATTTGGTTTCATCTTTATAATTCAGCTGTCGATTACTCACCCATCTATAAATCTTTCATTGATCAGAAAGAAAAAAAATGATCAAAATATAAAAAAAAATTATTTATTTGAAAAGTTTTGAACATTGTTTTATTTTATGCTTATTTGAATATTTTCAAATTTAATCTAAAAAAAAAAATTTAAAAAACTTAATTTTGTCATAAAAAATTGATTTATTTATCCATATTGTTAATTTAACTTGAAATTTTAATGGTGTAGAAATGGTTGACCGTGATATAATATGAGAAGGAGTTAATCGGGGATTGTGGACAAATAAACTAAATTTTTAAAATAGTATTTTAATCCTTACGCTAACGTTTCGATCCACTTCATAGGTCTTCATCAGAGAGTGGTATAACTGCAGGTAGCAGTTGATGAATTGAATAGATTGCTGATCAGTGATTAGCTAAACAATTAAAATACTATTTTAAAAATTTACTATTTATTTCACCGCACCCCCTAACGAACTCTTTCTCTGAATTTATTAATTTATTAATTTATTTATTAATTCAATTAAATATTAAAATATATAATTTCTCGAAAGTATACAAAAAAAAAATTTATATCTTCCTCCTAGGCTAAAATATTTTATTAATCATGTTTTTCTTTGTTATATTCAATGTTTTAGAATTCTACCCCATCTTCAGGAATATTTTATTTCATGATGTTCCTAAATATTATCTTTAGTCATCCATATTTTTTTTATTTTTCTTACATTTCACTTTTATTTTTTTATAAAAAAATATAAAAGAAGTAAAAAGTTTTAAGAAAAAATATAAAATATGGATAACATAAGGACTATATTTAGAAACATTATAAATTTTTTTTTCGTATACTTTCAAGAAATTATATAAATTTCTTTCCATGCGTTAAATTAAGTAGCAAACATGTCGAATGAACGGCCGATAAAAGAGTTTCTTTTTAAAAAATAATGCTGCTTTAAAAATAAAAAACTGAAAATCATCACATTTTTGAAAATGACAAGTATAATTAGCTGGCAGGTAATTTAGCTCACTTAATAGTACTTAGAAGACATTTTATTAAACTTTAATACTGAGGAGACTATATCAATATGTATGAAAACAAATTAATAATGTATAAATTAAATAAATAATTTTGAATGTATAATTATAAATGGTTACCTTAATAAGAGCTATAATGTAGGCAAAATCATGTAGGAAGTGAACTTTTAATATTGAAATGTTTTGTCAATTAGAGTCTTAAATGTTCAAATTTCGTACAAGACATTCTAAGAATTGTATTTAATAGAACAAGAAAAAAAAAATGTTTACTGTGATCTGAAAATTATTAATGGTCCATAAATCTTTATAACATTAGCAAATCTAATTCAAAATTAGAAGTTTCTAACTGGTATTGAAAGTTAGCCATTTGTATACTGTAGTTAATAAGTAGTAAATATATTACATCCGATTTCCTCTCTGAGGATCAAACAAAAAAAACTTTCTCTTAGAGATTACTTTATTAAGATGTTTATAATATACAATAACAATAATTGTTTAAGGATTTCTCAATATATTGAATCCATTTGTAGTTGTTGAAAATAAATATTGTCTTCATCATTCGTTGATAAATACCTTACTCCCTAAAACTAACCTTATATATTTATTTTATTTATTATTAGGATAAAAGCACCAATAGGTGACGGAGTACTAAAACCTGGCACCCTCCTCGAAAAATGGGAATAATAAGATTTCAGGACCTCCTAAACCTCTATTTAATAAATTTTAGGTTTCAATATTTTCTCCTTGTATATTTGTCCGCTTTGTTTTAGTCTTCCTGGAAACCGTAACCAAAATAATAAGTGGAAAATTAGGAAGGTCCCTCATGGTTCACTTAATGTCTTAGGAACAACAATTTATCAGCAAGGACACCATACCTTAGGCCTTTTACTCTTTACTTTTTTTTTTTATTCAAATTTATTAAAACAAAATTTTTGTTTTATTTTATCTTGGGGTGTTTATTTTCATAAATATAATTTTCGATTATGTTTTATCTGTTTTACTTATCTTGTTGGAGTATTTTCCCAGTAGCTGACATGCCTGTATTCTCATAAATACTTAATATTTATGATTTTAAAAATATTCATACACTACTCTCTTGTTAAAAAAAACAAAACATTAATGTGATTTAGATTAAATAAAAACTTTTTTTTTTGTTTATTTTTTTTTATTCACACCTGTCATAATGGTAATGACAACCAGTGAATGTGAGGTTAATTCTGAAAAATAATGTCATGAAAGGCATTACGAGGATCAGTGCCCAGCGGCACCTCACTCGGCGTGAAAAATAAAAAATTAAAATAGTTTTTCTTACACTCAAAAACAGGTTCTTGAGAGTGACCAGCATTTATCTATAAATTAAAGTCATGAAACGAAATTAAGTTAGTTTTATGATAAGTTAAAGGTAATTTTTGTTATTATCTATTTTAAAATGAAGAATATTAAATTTAAACACTTTATTTCACAAAATTATATCTTTGTTCTCATCCCTTTCAGTTATAGGAATTCCAAATCAAACTGTATCATCTACTGGTGCTACAAAACTATTCTCTAAATTTACATTTAATAAGTTAAATGGAGTTTTCATGGGTTTAAAATGTGTCTTTGCAATGTGAGAAATAGCTCTATAAGATAAATCCAAGAAACATGCATTCACTCTATTCTTTTTTTTTTTTTTTTACTTTAATCAACTTGAGATGGCAATCATGCTAAAAGTGACATTTTTTGCTGTATTGGTTGTGTAATTTTATGAAAAAAAATGGATAAAATTTGAGGAATACGATTCAAGTGGTAAAGAACGAATATAACATTGATATTGCACTTTTCATTTAGCATGAACCCGTGCTAGACCTGTAACGTCGTACATCGTAAGTTGCAACAAGTGATCTCCCCTCACTGTTCACAACCAGACAACCGAAATTGAAATATAACATTTATTTAACAAACATTTACATCAAGTGTATATAAAAATTGTTAATTTTATTTTTAACCCTTTTCTAAAATCTCTTTAAAAGCAAAACACCCTAAAATCATAAATTTATACATATTATTCAGTCGTTTTAAATAATTTTAGATATTATTATTTTATGAAGTGGGTTTGAATAGTAATTAAAAAGTAAAAAATTATAATAGCTTAATTCAACTTATTTAGTAGTTAGGAAAAAAGCCTATTTAATTAATGTTTTAGAAAAATCGATATATAAACTCAAAGTACCCAATATTCATATCGTGTCATGATGTAAAAGTAAAGACAATTCTATTGATACTTATTAAAAAGAAAATTTCATCAAAGTAGAAAAATTTTAACGTTATTTTTAAGACTCTTGTAGAGCTCATGATATAAACATATAACAACCAAATTTTATAGTGTTTTTTTTTTTTACATAAAACGGTAACTTTATAGTACTATCACAATTTTGTTCCACTCTACTGGGTACCTCTCGTAGCAATGACTCAATGTTTCAATGACGGAAGATGTTTCAATTATTGAAGGAAGTTAGTAGACTGTTCTAAATATAATGGGTAATATATATATATATATATATATATATATATTATATATATATATATATATATATATATATATATATATATATATATATATATATATATATATATATATATATATATATATATATATATATTTGGAATGTGGGACTTAGTAAATACACTTTGAATGAATTTACTCACCTGGAGTGTTATTCTTCAGTCATGAGGCCTATAGGACAACTAAATAAAAGGACTATTCACTCCTGTCTGACAAAACAATTTATTTTAACAACTGATATAAGTGAATATATCAAAGTCTAATAACTGTAGGCTTGATATTCTTATTCTTCACTGTATTTAGTAAGCCTCTCTTCCCAGATGACGTCTTCTCGTGTTCGTGTCCAGGCCTTAAGTGCCCCTTCTCTTCCTGGCGTCTTCCTCCAGCTGCTGCTACCTGGCCGGACCTTTTTCCTTCTTCATCGATTGTCTATCGATATGAGACTTTTCAAAAAAACTATTTGTCCACTGCACAATTGAGTATAATTCACAGTGCAACCTCACATTCCTATATATTATATATTCCTTCTCATTCCCTCTCATTATGTTGTCTAAAGGAGTAAATACAGGGGGATGTCTACTACAGTGTTTCTTATGAGAAAAAGAAAATTATTTCATATTTTTTATAATACATCGCCTAATGTCTATAATATGTTGTCCTGTGTGCACTGACTATTATTTGCACGGGTCAATTAGTAATATAATTTTTCTGATGTTATAAAATTTTATAGCACTGATGACCAAAAGCTTGGATTGAAACGTCGGTAGAGAGAGAGAAACACTTTATTTTCATAAAATATAAAATATAAAGGATTGCTGCCCAATTACATTGGGTTGCTATACACACAGCATACTCTTCTATCCTTAAGACAATATATGAACTTATATATAAATATACAGAAGTATTAGTTAATATTAGTAAAACAGAAATATATATATATATATATATATATACATTTTTATTATTTTATTTATCTTTATAATTTTTTTTTTTTTTTTTCCTTTTTCCCTCTTCTCATTGTTCATGCTTTTTTTTTTTTTTTTATTTAACATTAAGTTTCCCTTTCTCTCACTTCTCTCTCTTTATCGCTATTGTTTTCAATTATTCACTAAAAAAATAAATAAACAAATACATAAATTAAAACTCTGGGGCTAGCCATGCACGTGGTGGTGAATGATTCCCAGGGAGTCGAGGACTATATTTTCAGCCAACCTCGCTACGTCCTTAATGTCGACACCTAGTTCCTCGAGGAAGCTCCTTGTTCTTTTTGGGATAGTTCCGCGAGACCCAAACCAGAGGCCTCTCACGGTGAACTCTCTCTCTCCGAAGGTCTCACGGAATTTCTCTTTTAGGAAAGGGATACATTTATCGTACGTGTTCTTCTTTTCCCTTTCCACTTCACCCGCCTGATCGAGGTCATTGCTCTCAAAGCGGACAGTTGGATCCAAGATCAGCGCTGTCCTTCCTGTCTTGGGAAATGCGACGATATCAGCGTATCTCGTAGAGCCCTCACTATCGATGCAATATACCTCGTCAAAGCAGGTGAATTTTTTTTCCCTAAGGAGCCTCATCAATTCGAACTTGACCCGGTGGTGACGACGTGTTATGAGGAGGGAGTTGTTGGGGCATTTTCCCAGCACATGTGCTGGTGTTTCAGACTCTCTGCCGCATTTACGGCAGAGGGACCCAACTTCTCTGACCTGTCCGCTGACTCCTGGGACTCCACGCAGGGGTGCATAATTAATGTTTAGTTTTAGGGCATTCGACCATTCAGACCCAGAAAGTACTTGCTTTTCGTAGATGTATCTATTCGCTTTCGGGGTCTCTTTAAAATGGCGAACACCAATACCCTGCCACCTGCAGTTGGCCCATTCCTCAAATGCATTTTCTCGTAGCGACTGCCGTAGAGCTTTCACATTTCGATGACCCTGATCAACCCCCAATCTCTCGGCACATTCAGCAATTTCAGCCGAATAATCGAAGGTAGACTGAAAAAGGGCATCTGGTACATTGGACAGTCGCTGAGCAATGGACCAATGTTGAAGAGGAGCCTCCCATTGGCAGCGGATTAATCCCAATCCTCGGTATCTCCTGGGGGCATACAACATCGCTGTGGAAGTATTCGCAGGCAGTCCAATAATGGCCTTTACGCTCCTGCGAATCATAGTGTCGATGCCCTCCAGTATAGCAGGACGTAGCTTTGTTAGGGGCGCAGTTTGGAGAGGGTAAGTAAGACCCGGGAACAGATATTGATTGACAATGTTGAGTTTCTGCTCAGGTTTAAGTAAGCAAGAGGTTACCAGCTTGTTTAGATTATCATTCAATTTAGTCACCGAATCTTCGTTGAATTGCAGCTCTCCCGAGAATGTACATCCTAAATACTTAATCGTATCTCCATTCTTCAGTGTTTGGATGTACTCAACATTCTCAAGGGAGAGCACCGTAGTTTCCAGCTCTCCTTTATTTATAACGATGCCCATACTTTTTAGAGGATTTATAGCCAGACCAATTTCTTTAAATGTTCTTTGTATGCTGTCAATCACTCTTTCTGCAGCCCCCTTGTCACGCGCCGACACTGCCTGGTCATCCGCGAAACCTGTGAGGACCACACAATCTTGCTCATTCCTTAATTTGTATCCAAATTTCTTGGAAAAGTCCTCGTCACACAGGTCGCGGTAGAGATGATCGATGGCCAGGTTGAAGAGTGAAGACGACAGGGGGCCACCTTGGGGTACACCGCGCAGCACTTTGATCTGGCTAGTTGCATGGACACCGTTGCCAATCTTTATGGTGTTCGTGCTAAGGAGAGCTGATATGACATTTGTAAGATTCGGTGACACACCTCTCGCTTCTAAGGAGCTTACGATGTGTTTGTGCCCAACATTGTCAAAAGCACCGACAACGTCGAGGAAAACTATCGCACAGTCATTTTTCATTTTTTGTGCATCTTTTAATACCGCGTCGATGATCCTCGCGTTGACGTGCGTTCCCGGGAGGCCTTTTATAAAGCCTCTCTGACTCTTGTGGAAGGTGACCTGCTTTCTTAACTCGTAGTCCAGAACCTTCTCTATGATTCGGCGCACAATCGAGTATATGGTGATCGGTCTCCAGGTAGAGATATTGTTTATATCACCTTTGCCCTTATATATCAATATTGTGCGCCCTTGTCGAAGTGGTTCCGGAACATAGGCCACCTTCAGCATTATCTCTGCAATCGTTTTAATAATGCTTGATACCTCAAAATATTTTATTGTGCGGATCAGAACTCCATCAGGCCCCGGCGATGTGTCCATTGATGTTGATTTAATGGCTTTCCTGATAGCTTCTATCTCAATGGACAGCAAATCCGGCATCGGGGTACACTGTTCGTAATCCGCACGCCCGCAGAGATTTTCGTTCTCAAAGAGGTCTTTATAATGCCTCTCGATATCGGCCATTTTTAGAGGACACCGTTTAGGAGCGTCGGCATTCATTACAGTTTGCACAACCTTTTTTCTTTTATTATAATAATTATATTGGGCAACCTCGTACTGATACTGCTCTTGCCGACGGCTCCTGTCTACTTTGTTTGCCCTCTGCGGATTTGAGACTTGTCCAGCACCCTTGTCAGCCATTTTCATTTTATTTTTTTTCCTCATCCTATAAAATTTTACGGCTGGGTGCTGGGGACCTGGCAGTTCCGCATTAATGACTTTGAGGAACTTTAGGAACTTGCCTACGGCCTCATCAAAATCCGCAGTATTCACCATTTCTTGCTTTAAAAGGTTCTTGAACGTAGTAGACCATTCAACAATGTCCTCTTTTATTTTTGATGACTCACCCTCTCCATTTCTAGGACCTATCACGTTCTTTACTATGCCCCTCAATGTATTATTATTCGCCTCCCTGGGATGTTTTTTTGCAATGTGGGTTCCGAGACCTCGTTCGCCCTTAAAAGAAAGCCCGCATATCGGACAAACTTTATCATCAGGGCGTAGAGCTTCATTTTGCCGCTCACTAAGTACCTCTGCGACATTCAGCGGATCATTTGGCAATCTGGGAAAGACATCATCAATCGACACCGTATTTCCCAATACCACACCTTCTGTGTCAGGCCATTCCACTTTAACAAATTTATTATCTCCGCCTCCTGCAGTAGCCACAGACATCACAGAGGCAACAACCGCCTCTTGAACAGGTCCTCCAGTTCTCAGAACCCATACCTTTTGTCCAACTTCGATCTTCTTCGTTGGTATTTTGTTCATTGCAATATTTTTTTTTTTCGTTCTAGACTATGCCCACCACGCGCATGATTGAAACAATCTGTGCATAATTAAATAAATAAATAAATACAAAGTTAAAAACTATAAAATTAAGTGTTAAATAGTGTTATAGTTAAAATATAAAATCGATAAAAGCTTAAAAAAAAAATATACATCTATCAAATAAATTGCTTATAAATAAGTTACAATATAAAATCAGTAAAAAGTTTAAAGTTAAAATTTAAGTACAAGTTAAAAATAAGTGAAAGTTAAAATCTAAAAAAGTTAAAATCTAAGAAAGTTAAAAAGTTAAAATCTAAAAAAAAGTTAAAAAGTCAAAGTCTAAAAAGGTTAAAATCTAAAAAGGTTAAAATCTATAAAATAATTTCCTAAAATGAGTTAAAATGTAAAAAAAAATTCTAAAAACTGACTGCGTCCTGACTAATTATCAACCATGATGTTTCAATTATCTTTAAAAGTACACTGACAACATCAGCGTATTTTAAATGTTACATAAAGAAATTAATCTTATGGATATTAGAAATTATAGAATTTTTAGAAAACAGTGGTTCTCAAAATGGGTACGGTTGTTCGAATCATTAGCTATGATGTGTATTATCAATGAAAAATAAAATTATAGAAATATTTTAAAATGCTTTAGACCATATATTAACTCATAGTGAATTCCTGCCAAATTTGAAAATACAGTGAAAGGATGTAATGTTTATCACATTAATACAAAAAATCAACCCAAGTATTTCATTAGTCAATAAAGTGATAAATATTTGAAAAATGGCAAAGTTTATGTTGAATAAACTAGAAAGAATAAAAAAATTAAAATTGTGTATTTAAAATTAAAATACAATCTTAGTAAGTTGAACATTTCATTAAAACAGGAAAAACAAAACAAAAAAACATATTTATAATCATGGTCTATTATTTAATTTATATGAGAAAGAGTTGGTCGGGGTGTGCGGTCAAATTAATACTAAATTTTTAAAATAGTATTTTAATTGCTATGCCAACGTTTCGACAGACTTTGTAGGTCTTCATCAGGGCGTGGTATTTGGCAGTGCCCTATACCATGCTCTGGTGAAAACCAGTGGGTCGAAACAGCATAACAATTAAAATACTGTTTTAAAAATTAAGTATTTATTTGACCCCGATCATCTCCTTCTCATATTATATCACATTCAACCATCTTCATTATTTATAAATATAATTTATAATATAATCACTGTTCAAGCGACCACAAACCAACATAATATATCTTTATTTAATTATAATTTTATCTTTTCTCTATATATAGTTTGAATGTTGTCTTACCTCCCTATAATTATTATGAAAGTTGCATAGTAATACTAGATTACTGACTAAATAAATAAAAATTTAATTACAAGTATTTATAAGCATGGTTAGTTGTTTTATTTATACATATAATTTACAATGCAATCATGGTTCTAGTGGTCACAAACCGACATAATATAATATCTTTATTTAATTATTGATGATAAAAATTATTTTGTTGTTCCTTTATAAGATTTTAAATTAAAAATAAATGGTGTTTTAATCAAGTTTTCTACATGATCTTCTGTGGTCATATTTTGATATATTTGTACGAAGAAGCGTCTTTACTACTTTGATTTTCTGTAACCTATGGATGGGTCTTCTGTAAAAAATTATCAAAATATCAATTAAAAAAATAATATATATATATATATATGAAGATGATTGTTTAAAAAATAATATTACTATTATGTATCTTCACTAACCTTTTAACAGTTTTTCTTTTTTCAAAATATCATCGTACCAGTGTTTTATGCTATCTAAACCCATAGTGCCTCCTAACCAGGTAGGTATGCTTTCGCTGCATATAATATCGACTAAATCGGTACATGGGGCTTTATGCCATTTAAACTGAAATAAATAATAAAATTTATTATAATATTTATTCAACAAACAAAAAATATTTAATTAATTTATTAATAAAGGCAAAGAAAAAGGAATTTTTTTTTATTAAACAAATACAGAATATTAATTATTAAATAAAACTGTATAACATAAAATACATATTTACCTTTTCATTCATACTATCTGCAAGGAATGGTCTCAAAGCTGCGAAGAACAAATTAAAAACCATTGGAGGATTTATAATATGTATCACTTCAAATCTTACTGGAACACATTCCTGAAAAAGTAATTATAAATATAATGATTTTAGCTATATTGTTTGGTCTTTATTTGGATGACAAATCTAATTAATGTAAGTTCTTACAGGCAGTTTTGATAAAAACTAAATTTAACAATTTCATTGATTATTGTTATTAATGAAGTATTATTTAAAATGAAATCTTTTGCCAGAGACCAATATCTCATTACCAAGGAAATTAGATCAACAATATGCAGAGATAATAAATAAAATTGTTAATATATTGATACTAAAAAAATTATGAGTTTTGTACTGGTTTCTGATATTAAAAAAAAATATGTTAAATTGTAAATATAAAAAAAAAAAATGTAATAGTAAAAATAAATAAAAATTATGTGTTTTTAATAACAAAATTAAAAATAAGTGGATTTAATAATAGTGCTGTGAATAAAATGTTATTGTTTATAATATAAAATTTTTGAACTAATAATAAAAACACTCATTTTGAACTAGCTTAACAATACATTGGGATAATTTAATAATGTAAATTTTATTTTTAAAAATTTACTTTATAATGAATTAAAATTACAGTGCAAGATGTTTAAATAAACATAACCTTATGAGTGGAAGCTTTAGTTTGAGACCATAAATGGGTTATTACTGTGACAAGAGCAAATCAGCCCATATGAATTTATTTTAAATTTAAAATAAGTATATAAAGATAAAATAGATAATGAAAATTATTAATGAGCAAATGTAATAAGGCTGTGATGGTCGTTTTGTTTATTGTTGTTTATTTATTTCAGGTTAAAAAAAAAAATTAAAATCAATAATAAATAAATTACATGAATAAATAAAATCTATAAATTAAAATCGATTAACAAAAGTCGACTATCTGGCTAGGCTAAGGCCAACATATTTAATTGTCAACACATTCAAAGGTAATAATATATATATATATATATATATATATATATATATATATATATATATATATATATATATATATATAATTAATAATAATTGAATTAAAAAATACGGAGTTACAAATTTATGGGTCTAAGTCTGACATAATAATAAAAATACAAACTAATTTACTGTTAATTGTTATTTCAATTGTGCAATAGATTGAAATTAAACATTGTACAGATGCAAGTAATTTTACATGTTAGAGGTAGTTTGAATGTGGAGTAGGTGTTGGAACAGGAGTTGTTTGAAGGAATTTGTAGACGAGGATTGACTCATGGAGGTAGGAAGTGAGTTCCATAAGGAAGCAGCACGAATGACGAAGGATTTGCTGAAGGAGGAAGTTTTATGGGGGAGAATATATAAGTCTATATGTTGAGACCTAGTATTGAGAGAGTGGATAGAGGAGCGTAGAGTAAGGAGTTCTAAGATGTAGGAAGGGTTTTTGGTTTTGAGGACTTGGAAAAGAAAAACACCAAGGAGGAATTGTCATAGAGAAGTAGGATAAAGCCACTTCAACTCGGTGTACCAGAGTGAAACATGTGAACGCCTGGGGATCCCGAAAATGTATCTTATGAAATAATTCATGAGTCTCTTTAGTCTCATTTCCAGTCTGGCAGATAGCCCTCCATACACTAAACAGCAATAGTCGAAGTGGGGGAATACAAGGGAGGTTACAATGAGCTGTCATATATATATATATATATATATATATATATATATATATATATATATATATATATATATATATATATATATATAATAAACATGATATATATATATATATATATAATATAATTGTATATAATATATATATATATATATTTTTTTTTTTTTTTTTTTTTTTTTTTTCCTACGTGGTAACCCCACACAAGGATCGTTTATTTGATTTTCCTTCATGCTCCATGCCTTAAAGACATACTACATGAATTACATTTGTTTACAATTGTTTTTTTTTTCTAGTTTCACATGATTTAGTTCAAATTTATATACATTAACAAAAAAAAACACAAAGAATAAACACACAAAAATTAAATCGGAAAATTAAATATTAAACACACAAAGTCAATCCAACAAAGCCAAAAAGAAATCACCCACGCTGCCCATCCCTGGTTAGTAAGTCGAAGTCGATCGATCTAATAAATCTAAGAAAGTCTGTCTTGAATTCAGTAAATAACTTTTGTTCCGTCTCAGGCCAATTTCCTCTTTTGATAATTATGCTTTTTATTAACTCAAACCGCTGTCTGTCAAATCGTTTACATTCATATATTATATGTTTAAAATTTTGAACCTGTCCGTCTTCATCACATAAGTCTGTTTGTATAATGTTGAATCTTTTAAGATATTGTTTTGTATTCCCATGTTCCGTAAGTACTTGCGTAAGTTTGTAGTCATTACTGTGAATGTGTCTGTAATTGTGAATTGAAATGTGTGGTATAAATCTGTGTAAGCTTGGTGACTTAGCTGAGGTCACCCATATGTGATCCCATCTTTTGATGAAATCCAACTTTAAATTCATATCAATATACGATAAAGGAGCTTGATGATACGATGGCGGCAAATCGCTTTTAGCTGCTTCTTTTGCAAGGCAATCGGCTCGTTCATTGCCCTCAATCCCACAATGTGCTTTTACCCATTTTAGAGTCACTACTTTCCCTACAGTTCTCATCATTAACAATTTGTTTCTAATTTGGTCAGTCAAGTAATCATGAATGTCCCAATTATTAACAGAGTCTAGCAGAACTTTGTTGTCTGTATTTATAGTAACGTGAGTATTCGTTTGTAGAGGGTATTCATATATGTATTCAGTAACCTTTAAAACAGCGAATTTTTCTGCCTGATTATTTGAGCAATATGATTCTAATTTATATTGATGTTCTATATTCCTACCATCTTGAGCTCTGAACAACCATGCACATCCAACATTCTCGCCGTCCTTACTACCATCAGTGAAAACATCAGTATTTTCAGAAGTAATTCCCGGTCCAGTCCACAAACTTGTTGCAGGGTGTAACCAAGATTTACAGTCAGTGATTCTTTCTATTTTGTCTATTATATATACAATATATTATATATATATATATATATATATATATAATATAATTGTATATATAATATATATATATATATATATATATATATATATATATATATTATATATACAATTATATATACAATTATATATATATATATATATATGTATCAACAAATTCTTGGATTTAATGATTCAATCTTCTCTCAATTTTATGTTATATTCTTATCACATTTTCTGTGACAAACTAGTCGGACTGTGAAAAACGTATTTTTATTTGAGGTTGTACACTCTAAGAAATCAAAGATACTTTTTTACAGCTGAAAGATTTATTTTTAGCAGAAAAAGTTCAAGAAATGTACCAATGTTTTGAAGGCTGTTTCCCCTCCACCTATGTTTTATCTAAACAAATATATTATATATTCAATTTTTTTTTAAATATATATTTTAAGTATATATAATAAGGAAAATAAATAAAATCTTTACAATTATACAAATATATAAACAAATTCATTTTAAATATTCTATATTATATTTGTTCGTATCACAATACTTATGTTGAATTTTTACACATAATTAAAACTTCTGACATTGTTTTTTTTTTTTTTTTTGTCCATTGCCTTCTTGTCAAGTCTGCGCCTATTTGGTGATCTAATGCATATTTTTATCATTTAAATAATAATAAAATAAAATATTTTATTATCGTACCCTTTTTCATCCTACCAAAAATTCCTAGAAATTTTTGCCCTCCAAAAAAATTCTCAAAAGAAACCCTAAATATAGAGGAGGAAAGTCCTAAGCTGTTAACACTGGATAATTTGTACACCGATAAAAACAAATCACTTTTGAAGAATAATATTTAACGATAAATAATATTAAGTAAAATCATTAAACATGATAATTTCTTATGTTTTGACTACTGGAATGTGGAAAATAAATAATATAAAATATAAACTATAAAATACAACATAATAATAAAATAATATATAAAATAAACCAGTCATATGATACCTGTAATATCTTCACAATAGTTTTAAGTTTGTGTGGAGTTGCCCATTTCATTATTTTTATGGTAAGATCTGTACAATCAACAATCAAATTTATGCCTGTATTTTGGGCTTCTGGCTGGTATGATAAGTATTCCAACACGAGAATTACTGCTTGTATACAGTGGTTCCAATTAAGTTCTCCTGGGTCTACGTAACCTTTCAATAGAAAATTCCTTTATGAAAAATATTTATAACTTTCAAAAAGCAAAGAAGATATTAGGTTGGCAAATAAGTCCTTTCGGTTTTTCAGAGTGAAATAAAACTCAATGTATTATAGACATAAAATTTATTTTAATCTACAATATATTGACCATTATTTAATATGACTTTTTCCCATCTTTTCACTAACTACATAACGCCATGTTCATAGAATGTCTGGAGTTCATTGTTAAAAAACTGATCTAAGTGGTTTTTGATGTCCTCTTCCTTTTGGAATTTCTTTGCATTCAGGGGGTTCTCCAGAGACCGGAATAAGTGGTAGTCACTTGGAGCTAGGTCTGTTGAATATGGAGGGTGGGACGAAAAGTCCCATCCAAGGCTCTATAATGTATTGTGAGTGAGCAATGAGATGTGGGGCCTAGCGTTGACTTGGTGAACACAACACCATTCCGATCATTCATAACTCTTCAGGATGTACACCAAATTCAATGTTACTGTGTCCGTTGAAAAGCTAAATTATTGCTCTTCAAAGTTGTATGTATGTTTTTTTTTTATTTAATGCCTACATAAGGAATAAATAAACAATAACTCCTTAGAGATTTTATTTTTTATCCCCATTTGTAGTTTGTTTAGGGAGGTCCTGTTGATGTCATTTTGTATATTTTATGTGACCCTATATTCCTGCTAAATTTCTTGTAGATACCTAAAGTCATGTTGAAGTTAACACATAACATTTTTTGTAATTTTCGAAACAAAATAATGTGAGGTTAACCCAAACATTAAGCTGTGAAACATAGCTGAGCTTGAGCAAATGGTTTTTTACTCTTGTGTGCGACAAATTTAGTGCCATAGCAATCTCTCGCACTGATTGAGTGGGATTTTGATCAAAAATTGCCTTAACATTACTCATTTCAATTTCATGTAGGCGACCAGACCGTTGAGCATCATTGATGTTAACATTTTCTGAATGAAATTTGGCTCACCAATTTTGACAGGTGCGTTGGTTAAGGCATCATCCCCATAAACACTGCAAATTTTTCTATGAGTTTCTGCAGCATGCTTACGTTTTTTAAAATAAAACAACAAAATATGCCAATAATGAATGATCTTTTTTTTTTTTCCAAATTCACTGTGCAATGGCAAATACAGTATTAAGCTAGTTTCAACAAGAGTTCACAGATATAGTTGTTGACATATTAAAAACAGGATGAACAATCCACCTTAAGGGTTAATTCATCAGATAAGAAGTGTATCATAGTGACATAAAAATAAACAGAAAAACCGAAGGGACTTATTTGCCAATCCAATATTTATTATCCATTAATATAATTTATAAGTAAGACCTGGATTTGTATGCTCCAAAAACAAATGAATATTTTGGTAATTTCAAATTTTATATTTATTGCTAGGTTTTCTTATCTTACAGGTGCACAACTTTGTCATGAATATTCTTCTTCGGACCTGCACCATAACTTACCTTTACCTATGTTGGCAATATTAAATTTTTTTTTTTTTCTAGGCTGATTCTATTTTTCTTATTTTATGGAATATATCCTATTTTTATGAAATCAATTTTAATATACCCATCAGCCATCCTCGATACGATTGAAGAATAACAAACCAGGTGAGTCAATTCGTTCAAAATGTATTTACTCAGTCCCACATTGCATATATATATATATATTTATATTCTTATTATTTCTTCTCACTCAGTCTCACAAAAGTATTTGGTTCCCAAATTCTCAACGACAGTTAAAACCCTTAAAAAGTCTATATCCAGTGCCGCAGTTTTGTTTTAAGAAAATTAAATTCACAAGTATAAATAACCTAGTCTCCCGACAAAGCAGAAGGTTATTTGCAATTGCCGCCTAATGGGTTATTTACAATTAACCCTCAACAGGTTATTTACTGTCAAGAACCATAATGGGGAAAGAATACTCCAATTGTGTGCCAACAATGGTATGATCGTTGCTAATAGCAAATACATTTATTTAATAGAAATATGTATGTGAGCCTAAATATGCACAAAATTAAAATTTTGGCTTGTAAATATGCAAAAACTTGTAACATAAAATATTTATTACCAAAATATATAGAATGTCTTATATTTTTTAAAAAATGTTGCAAAAAAAAATGTGTATTTCCACATAAATCCGAGTCTTGCTTATCACATTAGAATTGGTCGCTTACACGCAAATACCATTTTTATTATTGTTAATAATGTTAGTGTAATTTACTGGACTAAATTAATAAAGACTATATACATTTGTACCAAGCCTCAAAAATAGTGTCGTCCTTCCAAATAAATCAACATGTGGGAGAATAAAACCAATATTTAGGTTGCTGAAGATGTCTACATAGGATGAAGCAGCTTCGGTGACAAATTCATCAGGTAAATCTATTTTGGCTTTATAATAGTCCTTAACCTAGAAAAAAAAATATAATATAGTTTTGGTTTTGTAATATAATGTCTAAGAGAAAACCGATGAATGTGCTGTTGATGGAATTGGTTTTATATTATTAAATACTTAGCTATTCATATTTTTTTTTATTTATATATTTATTTCTTAACCCACACTTGTCAAAAATATTGAAAATCAATTAGTTTCTTTCTTGTCTTGAATTAAGTATGGATTTTTAAGCGTTCAGCGTTTTTAAGCATTCAGTTTCTTAAAAGCCTCTTGGGTATGTATTCGGGTATGATAAGTGTTTTCATATCTTTGTATGAGCGTTAGAACATCGGTGCAAGTTATTGTGAAATCATTTGTAGGGTGTGTGATCATTAACTGTTGGTATATGTTGATCTTTATATAAAGTAATGTTTATAACATACCATGGAGCTTTAGTATATAGTTCTGAAAGTTTTTGAATGAAAAATGTTTAGTTTTCGTATGTAGGTCTTTTTTTATCACAATATAACTGTGAAGTGTAGGTCCAGATGAGTATTAATAGATGATTGTTTGTGTTTTAGATTTAATTTAGAATCTTTTGGGAGAAGTGATTATAATAGTTGTAGTCTGAGGTTTAACATTCTTTTTTTTTTCTGTTGATGTTTGATTTTTTTTTTTTTTACTAAATAAATCAATATTCCATTTCATAAAATCATGAGTGACATTTCATAAAATCATTAAGAACGTTAATGAATTTTCCATTTGTGAAACCATAAAATTGTGCACTTGTCACAATTTGATATAAAATTGCACTATATTTGATATATAAAAGAGTTTGTGTCACTATAATGAACTGAATGTGTTTTTTTTTTACCGCCAAATAAGGTCGAAATTAACAAAATTTAAAAGTTCATTTCTATCAAAAATTTACTTGAAGACTTTTTGCAATAAACCAAAGATTTATTAATTTGCCTTCTTATTTTGTTTATTTAAAACAATATCATGAGGATGGAAAATTCTTAAGAACATGATTGTTATTATCAATGTTATTACATATTTAATTCTACGATTATAGAACACTTTTAGTATAGTTAAATGTAATAAAAAGAAAAATTCTATAAATTATTACACAATGATTTATCATTTCCAAACAATTATACATAAAAATAACCATTACTTTTCTTGTAACATAAAGGAAAATAAATAAATGGAATTCCTAATATTGTCCTTAATATTTTTTGTTACTTGTCGGATAGCGGATTGGGACAAAACCTCCCTTTTTATCCAATCTTACATCACATAACCTCCTTTCCTATCTTGTGTAAGCTGTGAGTTATTCCATTGTTTATTTTTTTTCCATTTGTGTGATTTTCTTCAAATGATTATATTATTTCTAAAAAGTGTTTTTTTGTCGGTACGCCATAACTTCGTCAATTCTTCATCAAATCAAATGATTGACCGCTCATTTTGAAGATATTCTGCTCCTTCTCAGGCCAAAAATAGTCCTATCCCCTCGAAATTTCTGGAAAAATAATTATGGAAGAAACGAAACTTTATTTGCGAATAACTCAAAAAGTAAGCATTTTCCTCTGAATTGTACCCATGATAATTAGAAAGATTACTCAATTACCTACAAAAAAAAAAATCGTAAAATTCGGACAATTATTAGCAAAGATACAGTCCATTCACGGGCGGATTTACGGGCTGAAGCCCCTCCCCCCCAAAATGGTAAAATATAACCATGTTTTATGGAAAAAAAATATTAAAAAATGATGTCTTAAAGTATAATTATTCGTGTAATTACATTTAAAAGGACTTTAGGAATCACTTAAATACCAGTTCATACAGCTAGTTAGTTTCTTTCTTACTTTCCAAAGTAATTATAGTTATTTTTATGAAAAAAAAGCTTTCGGGCTGAAGCCTCCCCCAAAATTAAATCCTGGATCCGCTAGTGAGTCCATTAGTTTTGGTATACTTAATAATGTCTTCCTGTTTAATAATAGTGTACTACACTTTTATTCCTGGCTTTTGTATTAACATTATTATTTCTTAAAGAAATTTGGTTGTTCTTACATTTTATTTTTTTTAATAATTATAATAACCTATGATCGGGGCATTATTTTGTCTTTATTACTTATATTATCTTTCCAGTCAGTGTTTAAAAATAGGTACTAGCAAAGGAATTTGTATAAATATTTTGGTCTATTTGGTTTAAAGGAATATTGTAATCGACCAAGGAAAAAATTTTAATTCCTTCCTTACATAATACATGAATACTACTTATTTCCATATTGTTTTAATATTTCTTCACTAAACAAAATTATCTGCGAATTTTTCGCCAGTGGACCAGTGGACGTTAATACATTCTGGGGATAGCCGTCTTCAGAAGAAGAGACTATCAAATATTTTCAAAACGCCGGGATAATTCCGTGAAATTGTGTGAAGAACGTCATCAAATGAAGTCAGACAGGAAAACGAAATGGAGATGTTTTCGTAGCACTTGTAACAAAAACGTTTCTATAAGGAAAGGAACGTGGTTAGAGGGGTCCAGGATTTCGTTTTTAACGGCTTTAAAATTAATTTATGGGTGGTCCCATAATTCAACAACAATACAGTGGGGCAGAGATCAGCTGACACTATCCAAAGCAACTATGATAATGTGGAAGACATTTTTTTTTGAGAAGTTTATGCCCATAACATGTTATTCATCAAAATCGGGTCTGGCCAAGTCGTTGAAGTACACGAGAGTCTTTTTTCTAAAAGAAAAAATCATGTAGGAACAGTTCTACCTGAGCAATGGATGTTTGGCGGAGTTTGCCGAGAAACAGAAGAGTGTTTTATCGTTAAAATAAACGACAGAAAGGCAACAACTTTATTACAAGGTATTAAAAACAATATAGAAGAGCGAAGCACCATTTATTCTGACTGTTGGAAAGGATACAACACCCAACAACTGAAGAAAACTATAATCATTTCCAGGTGAATCACCGATATAATTTTGTTGATCCATCGACTGGGGTCCATACTCAACACATAGAACGATTGTGGGGTTTAGATAAGTGGAGAGGTTATAAACATTGGTAGGTTGTCCCGACCGGCTATCAGACAAGTACCTTTTTTTTAATAGTTAGTAATTTTCTAAGACAAATAAACAATACTTTAAAAAAAAAAAAAAAAAAAAAATAAGAAGTAAGCTTTACAATAGAGCATTAGAAAAATATTTAGAACGCCATATCTTTGCACCTCATTGTCCGATTTTAACGAATTTATTTTGTTTCTTAGAATTTTTTAAAATACTATATACAAGATAAAAAAAAAATTGAATACTTTTTAAGTTGTTCGGAAATCTAATTTGATCACCCCTCGTAAATTTTTTCCAGCTTCATTTTGTTGAAGTATGTAGTATAAATAAATTTTAAGGACATCGAGAATAAGCCAAAATTAATTAATATGGGTTCATTCGTTCGACACAGGTGCTTCGGCCGCCATCTTGAAAAATAAGTACTTTTCGGTGACGTATGTTCTATACATACATTTAAAAGGTATCAAGGAGAAGAATTTAGGCAAGTTTCATTGAAATAGGTACATTCGTTTAGGCGCTAGTCTATAGAAACACAGGTTTTTCAGCCATCTTGAAAGCAAAGGGCGGAGAGTAATGTCGAGGTAGGAGGATCAACCTCTGGTGACCTCTCGCTTTGATTCCTAATTTGAAAAAAAAAAATTATTCTATTTTCGAGTTTTACGAATTTTGAAACGTGAAACCTCAATTTTGAGGGGAGGGGAGGAGGTTAAGTATTTGAATTTTTTAGACGATTACAATGGATCATTATTGAAAATAAACGAAATTTATTGAACTGTTCAGTACTTATAAATAACACAATTAAAGTGATATTATAACGTTTTGGTATATTATTTTGATTGCATTAATGAATTTATAAAAATATTTATATTTGCCATTTAAGAGAATAACTAGTAAAAAAAATACGATTAATATTCCAAGGATATCAATTAAAAAGGAACAATAGAATAATATTATTATTTAAAAAAACAACAATAATTGGAAACCTTGAAAAATAAAACTTACTAAAGTAAAGGAAGCCTTGACGTCATATTTAGAAGCCTTGATAAACCTGATAAGAAATTCATCTGTAGTCGGGCAAACAAGCTTTGTTTCTCCTGCAATGAATAATAAATAATTAACAGAATTATAAGCATATCACCAATTTATATATATATATATATATATATATAAATATATATATATATATATATATATATATATATATATATATATATAATATATATATATATATATATATATATATATATATATACATGAATCAGTTTTATTAAGAATTATGAAGTATTACTGTTGACCTTATAATGTGAGTTGAGAGTTATAAAAACATCATTCACTAAAAAATGAATCCAAATTTAGCAAATGTTATTTGATGGAATTTGTTTTAATCTTTAATTTTTTTTATTCATTAAATTTAAAACTGTATAAAAGTAAATATAAAAACAGAGGAATATAATAGAATTAAAGGATTTGTAGAGAAGCCAACCTTTGGTAGCATTCTAATAAAATTTCTAAATTAGGAGATCACGAGGACATCTTCTTTTCAGACGCTTCTGTGATATCAGGTATCAATGTGGAAGCAAGGTTAGAAACGAGAGGGTTGGGATGGTTCTGAAGTTTAATATGCAAGAATAGGTATCTGGAATGGGCCAAATCGAAAACATATGAAACATTAAGGACATTATGGATGATTTTATTTGTAACATAGTAAGGACCACGGGCGGATCTACGGGGGGGGGGGAGAGAGGGCTTTCGGGCTGAAGCCCCCCCCCCTCCCAAAATGGAAAAATATAACCATGTTTTATGGAATTTTTTTTTTTTTAAATACCACTTAAAGTATTATTGTTCGTGTAATTATATTTAAAAGGACTTAAGGAATCACTTAAACACCATTTCATAAATGTAGTTAGTTTCTTTCTGTTTTTCCAAAGTAATTATCGTTATTTTTATGAAAAAAAAGGTTTTGGGCTGAAGCCCCCCAAAATTAAATCCTGGATCCGCTAGTGGTAAGGACCATTGAGGATTTTACAAAGGATTTAGGATTGTAAGGATTGGTTACGTGAGTAATTCAGTGGTTTATTGGAGCTCCAAAGCTTAATTTCCTCGTCTATTTTTCTCTCTTAAATCAAACCTAAATAAACATTCGTTTGTTTAAAAACGAGGCTTAAAATATTTTTCTTTCAAAAAGAGACCTTATATAAGGTTCAATGTTTTGTTATTACTATTGAAATAACCAGAGATTTTACGAAATATGTGCTAAAAATAAAGCCTTTATTAATTTATTATTTAATATAATTTGTTTTGATAATACAACTGAAATAGAAAATATAGTTTTTCACGTTTTTTGAACAATTGTAAACAACAATTAGGATTCACTTTGGAAATAGAAAAAAAAAACCCATAAAAAATGTAGCAATACAACCCATAAAGGGTGTTGGTTTCGGTACAATGTGAGGAAGTATAATTACAAGGGATACGGTTGTGCAAGGAGGTGATCGGGTCAGGATCACGCTCAAGCACCACATTGTCCACATTAATTAATCATTCAATTAATCGCACCCACTTTATAGAGCCTGGGTGTGCCCCAGGAAGATCCCCCAAACCAAGGATTGACACATTATTGATTAAAAATTACTGGATTCGAATCCGGGACCTTGAGCTTAGCAACCCAGAGCATAGCTCATGAGCTTAATTTGAAAATAAGCTACTCAATTGTACATTTTTCTGATTTTCCACAAAAAAAATATATTTCACTATCGATATATTGACTTTTGACCCGATACATTGAATAGCTAATAGTCCTGGGAGCCAGAGCCCAAAAATGGAACTCATAGCAGGCGAAGGTGTATTGTAAATTAGGAAAGTGTATGTTATTCTAAGTAAAAATAACCTTGTCTCCCGTTGCAGAGCTGTTGCTTTAAAAAATGGCGGCTGATTTACAGAATATTAGTCCAGTAATTTGTGGATCGAAATGGGAAATCCAATGCAAAAAATGTGAGAAAAGTTTGTATTTTTTTAACTTGTATATAAGGGTTTAGACATGTAAAAAATTCAATTGCTAACGCGGGCTACCAAGGGAAAACTTTTTACAGCCAAAAAAATCAGATTTTTACGATTTTCTTTTGTTTTTTCTCCTATTACTCCTAAACGATGCATCAAAGCGAAAAACGAACTCTTCGATAAATTAATAAACGTTAAATTGTGCGTCGAACGAGTACATAAACTTTATAATTTGGTTACGTGGTAAGGTATAAAAGCACGGTCAACCAACGCTGATTTTTACCAAATTTGTCAAAAACTGAGACAAATTGCTATAAATGGCCCTGTAACTTGGAAATGAGTTCCCTAAGAGGAAAACCTATATAATCAAAGTTATAGAGCATCAAATTTTGCGTCCAGTGAGTCCAGTGAGGACTTTTTTCACTTAAGGGTTTCATTTCCTAGTTGCAGAGGCATTTATAGTAATTTGCCTCAGTTTTTGACAAATTTGGTAAAAAATCAGCGTTGGGTGACCGTGGTTTTATATCTTACCACGTAACCAAATTATAAATTGTATACTCTTTCGACGCATAATTTAACGGTCTATAAGTTATTAAAGAGTACATATTTTCCTTTGATGCATCGTTTAGGAGTTATAAGTGAAAAAACAAAAAAAAAAAATGACTTTTTTGGTTGTAAAAAGTTTTCCCTTGGTGACCCGCATTAGCAATTTGTTTTTTTACATGACTAAACCCATATATACAAGTTAAAAAAAATAAAAACTAGTCTCATATCTTTCGCAATGGATTTCCCCTCAAATTATTGGTCTGATATTCATTAAATAAGCCGCAATTTTATAAAGCAGGGGCTCTGAAAATGCTAGCAAAGTTATTTTTACTTAGAATAACATACACTTTCGTAATTTATAATCAAACCTTCGCCTGCGATGAGGTCAATTTTTGGCCCCTGGCTATAATATTGTACATCCGATTAAGCTCATTTTAAATACATTGTTTACCAAACGCATATATAATAATTACTAAGGGAATATTTAATAAAAATTAACGATAATAAGTTTACGAAACAAAAAATAAATTATAAATTAAAACAAACATAACAAGAAAGGCAATTAATCCTAAAAATATCAACCGAGGTCACACAGCTGACGAGAAAAAACAAAACCGGCTTGGTTTATCTCCATTAAACAGAAAGGAAAAACTAAACAGATTTTTCTTTTTCTGTAATTACGTACAATCCATGAGTTAATGTCTTGACAAGGACAGAGAAACAAACAAAAAACTTAACACGCAAGGCTTTGAGAAAATTAGGAACCCCATTATCAGGTACTAATTGCTTTCAAAATACAAACTAGCAATTTACAAAACTTCCACTCTTTTAATTGGTCCTATAAATGATTAAAAATCATTATAAATGCTAAAAATAGGCGTCCAATTAAGACCAGTGTATGATAGGGAAGTAAATATCCAAAAATATTTCAATATTTTTATTAATTAACAAAAAATGGAGGTGTTAACATATATAAAAATTTTAATAAAAATAATCATATGGAGGATCTAAATTAATAATAATTACTTAGCCCGTGCGAATAATTCGCAGAAAATTTTGTTCAATGATGAAATAGCAAAACAATATGGAAATAAGTAGTTCCCATGTGTTATGTAAGGAAGAAATTAATATTTTTTCCTTGGTTCATTACAATATTCCATTTAAAATAATAGATCAAAATATTTGTACAAATTGTTTTGCTAGGAAATATTTTTAAACGCTGACTGGAAAGATGATAAAAGTAATAATGACAAAATAATGCCCCGATCATGGGATATTCTAAATTATTAAAAATAATAAAATGTAAAAACAAACAAATGTCTTCAAGAAATAATAAAGTTAATATATAAGCCAGGAAGAATATTGTAGTAAACTATTCTACTCCTAAATGCAATATCTTTAAACAGGAAGACATCATTAAGTATGCCAAAACTAATGGACTGTGTCTTTGTTAATTATTGTCTGATTTTTACGATTTTATTTTGTTTTGTAGGTAATTTAGCAATATTTCTAATTAGTATGGGTACAATGAAGAAACAATGCATACTTTTTGAGTTATTCGAAAATAAAATTTCTTTTCCTTCATAACTTTTTTTCCAGAAATTTCGGGGGAATAGGACTATTTTTCGCATATAGTGGAGAAGAATATCTTCTAAATGAGTGGTCAATCATTGGATTTGATGAAGAATTGACGAAGTTGTAGCGTTAAATTAAATATTTATATATTGTTTATTAAAATAAATCATCGATTTATTAATAGTCCGTGGTACAGACCCCTTTTTTTTTATCAAATTAATAACTTCCTCCTAAAATTTCGTAAATAGCTTCATCTCCTCGTGACCTACAAATATTTTACATACTAAAATTCCCAGAATCAGTTTGGTAAAATTTGTGTATATAATAAGGTATTAAAAACTCATTAATACCTATTTGTTTTCCCCTTGAATCGCAAGATAATATAATCACAAAATAAAAAATAAAAAAGTGACCTACAAAAATATTGAGGCGTTTGCTCTGTACAACCTCGTTATTTCCACATTTTGGGGTAGTAGTGCACATTTTTTCTCGACTTTGAGTCCATATTATCTTAAGATTCAAGTAGAAAGCAAATGGGTATTTAAGAGTTTTTAGTAAATAATTAAATAGACAAAATTTGCCGATCTTCAGGTTGAAAATGCTCCAGTTCCGAGAATTTTCATTAATAAAATATTTGTAGTTTACAATGAGATGATGCTATTTAAAAAGTTTCAGCCGGATGTTAACAATTTAATAAAAAGGGGTCTGTACCACTGTATAATAAAACAATCTATGTTGCTAGCTCGAATTTTTAAAAAAAATTTAAATCTCTAGAACTTATAATTCAGTATTTACTTAAGATATTTCATATAGATTAATTAAAATAATCTTATAAAATACAGTAACACGATTGTTCGTTATAATTTTTTTTCATAAAAAATTCAAAATTTTAAACGTTCCTAATATATTTTAATCAGCTGTTTTTAAATAATATTATGTACGTAAATATTAGATTTTGAAAGAATATCCTTGTGTG